AGGAGTAACGCACTCTAACATAATCGCACTGGCTAACATAATCGTCCTCCATTCTGCAACAAACACTCGACTTCCTCAAGTACACTATTCTCAGACTTCTCTTAAATAAAAATCGAAATAACGAAAGAATAATACCACCTTCCATTAAAGATGAAAGAAAAATATAAATTATAGATTAATATACAGGGTGTTTGGCCAACCCTGGGGAAAAATTTAATGAGAGATTCTGGCGGCTAAAATAAGACGAAAATCAAGAATACCAATTTTTTGATGGAGACTTCGTTAAAAAGATATTAATGTTTAAAATTCCGCCCGTACTGAATTTTTTTCACGAAAATGCGTAAGATTCCGGGGGTATGTCTATTCACCAAAAATGATTGTAATTTACCCCCACAACCGAAAATAATTTTTTTAGAACAATTTGAAATTTTCTAATTTTGTCATACTTTTTCGAATTTTTTTCTAGAAAGTGGGTAGCATTTCAGGAGTATGTCTATTGACCAAAAATGATTATAATTGACCCCTGGAACCAAAAATAATTTTTTTAGAACAATTTGAAATTTTCTACTTTTGTCGAAAAATTTCATACCTTCTCGAATTTTCTGCTACAAAGTGGATAAGATTTCGGGGGTATGTGTGTTCACCAAAAATGATTGTAATTTACCCCCACAACCGAAAATAATTTTTCCAGAACGATTTGACATTTTTTTTCATTTTTTTTTTCACCTGTCGATTTTTGTTAAATATTTGTTTTTGATTTTTAGTAATTTTGTTTGACGCCCTACAGAAAAGTTGTCTAATACTTATTTGTAGGTATCCATGAGCTCTACTGCCCTACTAAATTTCAATGAGACACGTTCACTATTGTAGGAGTTATGGCTGTTTGAAAATTGGACAATTTTTATGGGGTTTTTATCAGTTTGCCGTGCCAAGGATCAACTTTTCGAATATTTTTGGAATTTCCACATAATCTACACTAAAATACGCATTGTTTGAATTTTGAAACATTAAAATCGTTCAATCCGATCAGGAGTTATGATGTTTTGAAGATTCACATGAAATTTCGGGGAACCATTTCAGATTTCAGGGGTATGTCTATTCACCAAAAATGATTGTAATTGAACCCTGGAACCAAAAATAATTTTTTTAGAACAATTTGAAATTTTCTAATTTTGTCATACTTTTTCGAATTTTTTTCTAGAAAGTGGGTAGCATTTCAGGAGTATGTCTATTGACCAAAAATGATTATAATTGACCCCTGGAACCAAAAATAATTTTTTTAGAACAATTTGAAATTTTCTACTTTTGTCGAAAAATTTCATACATTCTCGAATTTTCTTCTACAAAGTGGATAGGATTTCGGGGGTATGTCTATTCACCAAAAATGATTGTAATTTACCCCCACAACCGAAAATAATTTTTCCAGAACGATTTGACATTTTTTTTCATTTTTTTTTTCACCCGTCGATTTTTGTTAAATATTTGTTTTTGATTTTTAGTAATTTTGTTTGACGCCCTACAGAAAAGTTGTCTAATACTTATTTGTAGGTATCCATGAGCTCTACTGCCCTACTAAATTTCAATGAGACACGTTCACTATTGTAGGAGTTATGGCTGTTTGAAAATTGGACAATTTTTATGGGGTTTTTATCAGTTTGCCGTGCCAAGGATCAACTTTTCGAATATTTTTGGAATTTCCACATAATCTACACTAAAATACGCATTGTTTGAATTTTGAAACATTAAAATCGTTCAATCCGATCAGGAGTTATGATGTTTTGAAGATTCACATGAAATTTCGGGGAACCATTTCAGATTTCAGGGGTATGTCTATTCACCAAAAATGATTGTAATTGAACCCTGGAACCAAAAATAATTTTTTTAGAACAATTTGAAATTTTCTAATTTTGTCATACTTTTTCGAATTTTTTTCTAGAAAGTGGGTAGCATTTCAGGAGTATGTCTATTGACCAAAAATGATTATAATTGACCCCTGGAACCAAAAATAATTTTTTTAGAACAATTTGAAATTTTCTACTTTTGTCGAAAAATTTCATACATTCTCGAATTTTCTTCTACAAAGTGGATAGGATTTCGGGGGTATGTCTATTCACCAAAAATGATTGTAATTTACCCCCACAACCGAAAATAATTTTTCCAGAACGATTTGACATTTTTTTTCATTTTTTTTTTCACCCGTCGATTTTTGTTAAATATTTGTTTTTGATTTTTAGTAATTTTGTTTGTCGCCCTACAGAAAAGTTGTCTAATACTTATTTGTAGGTATCCATAAGCTCTACTGCCCTACTAAATTTCAATGAGACACGTTCACTATTGTAGGAGTTATGGCTGTTTGAAAATTGGACAATTTTTATGGGGTTTTTATCAGTTTGCCGTGCCAAGGATCAACTTTTCGAATATTTTTGGAATTTCCACATAATCTACACTAAAATACGCATTGTTTGAATTTTGAAACTTTAAAATCGTTCAATCCGATCAGGAGTTATGATGTTTTGAAGATTCACATGAAATTTCGGGGAACCATTTCAGATTTCAGGGGTATGTCTATTCACCAAAAATGATTGTAATTGAACCCTGGAACCAAAAATAATTTTTTTAGAACAATTTGAAATTTTCTAATTTTGTCATACTTTTTCGAATTTTTTTCTAGAAAGTGGGTAGCATTTCAGGAGTATGTCTATTGACCAAAAATGATTATAATTGACCCCTGGAACCAAAAATAATTTTTTTAGAACAATTTGAAATTTTCTACTTTTGTCGAAAAATGTCATACCTTCTCGAATTTTCTTCTACAAAGTGGATAAGATTTCGGGGGTATGTGTGTTCACCAAAAATGATTGTAATTGACCCCCGTAACCGAAAATAATTTTTCTAGAACGATTTGAAATTTTTTAATTTAATTGTTAATAACTTTTTAACAATGCCTCAGTCAAGAAATTGATATTCTTGTTTTTCGTCTTATTTTGGCCCCTAGAATCCCCCATTAAAATTTTCCCCAGTCGTGTATACAGTCCTGTATATTTAATTTATAATAAATATGAGGGGCCGTTTTATTTAAAAAAAATCTTCGTGTGTTTCTGCGAAAACGGCTTGTAACACGTCACAAAGGTTTCTTTTTTACCGTTGATTAATTCAGCAAAATGTTAATTACAACTCATAAAATCGTATATCCAACAGATGTGTTCAATATTCATATTGGTTAATCGTAACGTTAAAAAAATAAATTATTCGTTTAGGTCACGTTAGGATCGTTTCACACTGATACCTTTGGCAATTCATCAACTATGTTGATGTGACTTTCTTTTTACTCTACTTTGCCACTTGTCTAGCATCTCTTAGATGGACTATTTTCTCGAAAATATACATGCTATTTTGTTTAAATAAATAATTCTCTACCCTTAACGAACGATGTCTACTAATCTGCATAAAAAAAATATTATAAACAATAATAATAATAATAATAATAATAATAATAAGAAGAAGAAGAAGAAGAAGAAGAAGGATAATACTGAAAAAGAAGTACACTAAGTACACCTGAGAAAAGCTATATCTAAAAAATAATTTGAGATAGAAGAAATCTCATAAGGCAAAATTAAAATTAAAATTAAAATTTCGAATTTTTCCTTATGACGACTTTTTCGATTTCTAACTGTTTTAGAGATATACCTTTCCCCAGTTGGTTGGAACACCCTGTATGGCGTGAATTTTCTATCATGAATTAATTCATACATTCATAATCGTGTAATGCATAAACGAGAGCAAATAGTACGTATGCGTGCTTGTTATTGCAGCACACATAATTGCACAAAAAATTGTTTGCGGAGTGTGCATATACATTGATAATTATTGTCACGGAGTAATAGTATTTCTTCGAATTGTTTTGCAATTGAGACACCTATTTACAAATATGAACAATTATGTGTTCATACATTTTCAAAAAAAAACAGTGATGAGCAAAACTGAACACACTTTATAATATTTTCCAAACACACTATATCAATCTATATAAAAAAAAGATCGTTAAAAAAAATGTGTAGATCAAAAAATATCAATAGAATGAGAAAACTCTGAAAAAATATGAATTTGAAGAGTTTCGTATGAATTTTATTCCGCGATTAATTCTTCGAATCATAGTTCTTCCTCCATTTCTTTTTTTACTTTCTCGTCGTTCCTCGTTATGTGAGAGGTTTCAAAATGCTAGCGCGATTGAATTGAAAGAAAACCAGAGTTTATGGGGGCACATGGTAGGGGAAAAAGTACCGTTCTCTTACAGCAGGAGTTTAGTATTCAGAGAATCATAATTTACAATCAAATAACGGAAATGACACAGTTAATACACTTAGTTGTGTTCATTTCATTAACTTTAACATTTTCATCGAATTACCAAGGACGTAAATCAAATTTATGAGAATCGTCGACTTAAGTAAACGTTACTAAAAAATTAAGTATCGCCGACAAGACATTAATTCTACACGGTTATTATTTATTTTATCTTACGGTATCGATAAATTTCATTTATCATTTATCACGAATAAATAAACAGATTGAAATGTTTTGTTCGAGCAAAAAAACATATTAATGCAGCTCGTTGAATATTAAATATCTGATAACGATAGTAGTATAATTTTTCACTTTCGACGAAGCGTTATGTTGTATCAAATTTGTCGAAAATTGATTAAGAATTATAAAGAAAATTAACTTTTTATTTTTTATTTGATTCTCCTGACAAAATAGGACAAAAACTTTTGGAAAAAAATCAAAATTCTAAACGAGAGTTTCGAGTTTCGCGAATCGAAAAGTCAGATTTCGATCAATCTCTATCGTTGTAAGTCGATACATAACGTTCGATAGACTTTTCATGCGTTTAATAAGAGAAAGGTCTCGAATCTGGAACGTTACCGATCAAACGTTGCACCGCTGTTAAATTGTTTTCCCTATTAAAACAAATCGTGGACTAATTCAGTGTTCGTGATACTTACACGATCCTTGTCAGAAATTGCATTCGTCCCGTTCCCCACGTTGCTTGCCGATATCTTCGAGATCGTGGCTGACATGTTCAGACTATTTTCCAATAATTTTAACACCGATCATTAAATCGAACTATCATCCAACAATTATTGTCGCGTCAAGAAGTCAACACACCGAAACTCGTCTCGTATCTCCAAGTTTCACCTCGTATCGTATACATGCACAAATTCACTGGTTTGCAATAGTTTCTTAACGACTTTTGGTAAAAGTATAGAAAATCAACTGTCGATACACTATTACAAACTATCTTTTGTAAAGAAAACGCTTCTTTATCTTTTCTTTTCTTGTGTCGTACACCGCGAGTGGTCCAGTGTTTACTTTCCACCAATAACCTACAGCTCTCTCAAGGAGAGATTGCAATCGCAACCGTCTCGTTCGAGATGCAACAAAAACTCGTCGAACGATGAGAACACGCGAATAGGTACGTGGAACATGGAAAGAAAAGAATCCCTTCGTGTGTACACTGGCCACACGGTGATGTTAGTTAGCCCGCGTACTAAAGCGGAATACCTACCAGTACGAAGTTTGCTAGGTCGATCATACAAGCCGATCTCCCTCCATCGTTTCACAACCTGCTGTTGTAGATACCGGTGCTGAGAGCCACTTTGTACGCATCTTGGACTGAATTTTTTCGGTCCATCTTCCTGCGGAAGAAAGCTGAAGGTAAATATGACCGCATTACGAGGAAAAAGTGGGTGAATTGCATAAATGCTTCATAAAAATCACTGGATCCGACCTTTAAAAACAACTTGACGATTTCCGTCATTTTTAACAAAAATAACAATTTTTAATAACTATAAATTCTTTTAAAACGTTTCGAACAATATCGAATTTTTTCGCATTATTTGTTCATGATTATAAATTGTGATATTACGTCTGACACTAATTGTTAATGTTCTATGTATTTGGTATACAAAAAACAATTAAAGTTAGAGAAAGTTAAAATTGTTTGATCACAGAACCTTCAACGTTTTGAATCTCAAAGCTGAAATACGAAGTTAGAGGATATAATTAAACGCAACAAGTCGAATATTTAAATATAGAATTGTAAAGGATTTTTCGAAATCTAAATTCCATCCTTTTAAGCGCAATACTCGATCGTTTAATGAAACTTGGATTTCAAAGTTGAAATACGAAATTAGAGGTTATAATTGAACGCAACAAGTCGAATATTTAAATATAGAATTATAAAGGATTTTTCGTAATCTAAATTCCATCTTTTTAAGCGCAATACTCGATCGTTTAATGAAACTTGGATTTCAAAGTTGAAATACGAAATTAGAGGTTATAATTGAACGCAACAAGTCGAATATTTAAATATAGAATTATAAAGGATTTTTCGAAATCTAAATTCCATCCTTTTAAGCGCAATACTCGATCGTTTAATGAAACTTGGATTTCAAAGTTGAAATACGAAATTAGAGGTTATAATTAAACGCAACAAGTCGAATATTTAAATATAGAATTGTAATGGATTTTTCGAAATCTAAATTCCATCCTTTTAAGCGCAATACTCGATCGTTTAATGAAACTTGGATTTCAAAGTTGAAATACGAAATTAGAGGTTATAATTGAACGCAACAAGTCGAATATTTAAATATAGAATTGTAAAGGATTTTTCGAAATCTAAATTCCATTCTTTTAAGCGCAATACTAGATCGTTTAATGAAACTTGGATTTCAAAGTTGAAATACGAAATTAGAGGTTATAATTGAACGCAACAAGTCGAATATTTAAATATAGAATTGTAAAGGATTTTTCGAAATCTAAATTCCATCCTTTTAAGCGCAATACTCGATCGTTTAATGAAACTTGGATTTCAAAGTTGAAATACGAAATTAGAGGTTATAATTAAACGCAACAAGTCGAATATTTAAATATAGAATTATAAAGGATTTTTCGAAATCTAAATTCCATTCTTTTAAGCGCAATACTAGATCGTTTAATGAAACTTGGATTTCAAAGTTGAAATACGAAATTAGAGGTTATAATTGAACGCAATAAGTCGAATATTTAAATATAGAATTGTAAAGGATTTTTCGAAATCTAAATTCCATCCTTTTAAGCGCAATACTCGATCGTTTAATGTAACTTGGATTTCAAAGTTGAAATACGAAATTAGAGGTTATAATTGAACGCAACAAGTCGAATATTTAAATATAGAATTGTAAAGGATTTTTCGAAATCTAAATTCCATCCTTTTAAGCGCAATACTCGATCGTTTAATGAAACTTGGATTTCAAAGTTGAAATACGAAATTAGAGGTTATAATTGAACGCAACAAGTCGAATATTTAAATATAGAATTGTAAAGGATTTTTCGAAATCTAAATTCCATCCTTTTAAGTGCAATACTCGATCGTTTAATGAAACTTGGATTTCAAAGTTGAAATACGAAATTAGAGTTTATAATTGAACGCAACAAGTCGAATATTTAAATATAGAATTGTAAAGGATTTTTCGAAATCTAAATTCCATCCTTTTAAGCGCAATACTCGATCGTTTAATGTAACTTGGATTTCAAAGTTGAAATACGAAATTAGAGGTTATAATTGAACGCAACAAGTCGAATATTTAAATATAGAATTGTAAAGGATTTTTCGAAATCTAAATTCCATCCTTTTAAGCGCAATACTCGATCGTTTAATGTAACTTGGATTTCAAAGTTGAAATACGAAATTAGAGGTTATAATTGAACGCAACAAGTCGAATATTTAAATATAGAATTGTAAAGGATTTTTCGAAATCTAAATTCCATCCTTTTAAGCGCAATACTCGATCGTTTAATGAAACTTGGATTTCAAAGTTGAAATACGAAATTAGAGGTTATAATTGAACGCAACAAGTCAAGTACTTATACATAGAATTATATTTTTGAAATCTAAACTGCATCTTTTTGAGCGCAATATTCGATCGTTTAATGAAATTTCAATGATACCGTTAAATCTAAAAGTGACCACAACAAATGCGACACCCTGTATGATTAAAATCGTATTGTTAGAACTCCGTCCTGCTTTCTCTTACAATTATTTCCGTTACAAAAATGTGTTAAATAAGTGTTTTAAGGTCATTCTATACATATTTGATTAACGTAAATTTATATTTTCTTTATAATTACAAATGCTAAAATTTTGGTTAGGAAAAAATTGTTTAATCTAAGCAATAAATTTTGTAAGGGATAACATTTTTCAAATTCAAATTAATTTTTATGTAAAACTCAATTGAATTTCCCGCTTTCGCACATGCGCATGAGAAGTATGAAATCAAGTTATCTACATATATATAGTGTTGCGTGACCACGCGAAAGTAGCCCCAGAAATATAATAATCGATAGGTAAATTAGGAGCGAAATTCAAAAGCGGGTGGTTATGCGTGATTGAGAGTATATTGTTAAGGATGCGCGATGCTGGTGGCACGCGTGGGAAAGATCTTGGGTAGAGCTCGAAAACAGGAAGAGGACACCAATTAGCAGACCCCGAAACGAATCGCGAGTTTCTTGTAAGTCACGTAACCTCTTGAAAAGGCCTTGTCCTTTTGTTAGTCTTAGGAGCGTCGATCGACTCCAGAAATGTTGGCGACGCTAAGGAAGTCATAAATTTCCTTCAAGGGTTGTTCTCTCGATCCTCGGAGCAGAGCCTATTTTCTCTTCCCACGTAGGCACCCCGTTGTGTAACGGAAAAGCGCGACTCCACCGAGTTCCCACCACCACCCGAAGACGGAGGGAAAGTTAGACGCCGATTCGCGGGGGCGTGTGTGCATCGGAAGGACGGCCTACCGCTTGGATCTGATGCGTCCTTCACCCTGATTGGACTACGAGGATCTATGGGAGGACTAGGAGGATTTGGCCAACGACTTCGGCGAGGACCTCGGAGGAGACTTCGAAACGCTACGATTTTTCTTATGTCATTGTGTCTCTAACCGGCATTCGGACCAGTAAAATAAACTACGAAGTTTACCTAACAAAAGAGTTCTCTTGTCTAGTTTTATTAAAATTCCCACACTCCGACAAGCAGAGCGGTTCTGCGCTCCACGGGCACCAACCCGCGTTCTTATCTTAAATTCCCCGCTAAAATACGCGACAATAGTAACTGTTGCGCGTCCGGCGGCGTATTTCCGAAACTTCGTAGGGAATTCGGCGGGGAACGCTGCCCGTGGAGTGCTAAGGCACTCTGCTCCTTGGACGCGGGAGTTTCAAACGAAGATCGCTAGATAAGGAAAATAATAAATGGATACAAGGATTTGAACACACGTAAATAGTACTTTAATTAACTCAATAAAGGAATATAAAACAAAACAACCAAGATTTCGCAGGAATCTTGTAACCCGTTCGTACACTTCCGCTCTCTTAATACAAAATGTCTCTCTCTTTGCCGTTTCAAATAATACTTGTAAGATCTCGCTCCGTGTTTCAAAGTTACGTCCGTTCACTTTGGATCTCCGGATTCAAGTGAGTCGCTCTGCCGGCCGGTCGAGGCCCAGCCCACACGTAGGCCCCTCCAGATCGTCCTTTCCTTTATTCGGGCCGGGCGCAAAACTCTCGCACGCGCGTTCCTCGGCACACCCCCGATCCCTCGAGAACGGTCCTCTGCAGCACGTGGCCGTTATCGGCTTTCCCACGCAGCCCGTTTCCGGCTATCGATAGCGCACGGCCCAAGTTCCAGGAATTACACACTTAGGAGAAGGGATCAAAGGGGAGCTCACGACGATCCAAACATCCGTCTCCAATAAATTATTGGCTAATCTATGACCCGAAGTGAAGTCATTAAAAGAATCTCTGACCACTTTTAAACCTTAGAATTGGCGCGGACTCCACTTTGTCTCCCTTTCCTATTACATTCGTGTAATCTGATTTAAACCTCGCGCCCCCCAGAGCTTCTGCTACACGGCGCCAGGCGGCGACCACAACATAACAGGTGTATCGGTGTATCTTTTCACTGAAAACGTTGGTACTTTCTACGGTGTACGTCCAATGCAGTTAAGAATAATATTTTTGCCGATAAAATTAGAATTTAACCAGAATTTTGTAACAGTAGAATAAACATTTCAACCTTTGACGTATAAAACATCTTATACGTGTAATAAAGAAGTGTCGTCAAAGAATACAAAAATAATCGTGACGGATCGATTCGGAGTAAAGTACATGATCAAATATTTGTCAAGAAATCATAGAAATTGTAATTTGGTTTACTAAAATCTATCTATTCAGGGTCTGTTTAAATTTCAGAGTGATACACGGAATTATACGTTAACCTTTAGTTGTACATACCTGTAAGTGTAATAATCAATGATAACAATGTTTAAGTTTTTGGTAAGTTTGATCAATTATTTTTATAATTTCATATACGATAGAAATATTGAAAATATTCTGTATTTTTCATTTAGATAACCTTGGGCATTGGAGTTTATGCTGGTATGTACATAAGCCAAAATTATGAGGTAGGTTCAAAAAGCCACTTTAATATAACATGTTGAATTAGCTATGTAGAGAAACGATTACTAAAAACGCAAAATAATTTTTGATCTATTTAAGGTACCTCGTGTGGACGACCCTTCTAAGATAATAGAACGGATAAAGGAAATTACTGATGAATACAAAAAAAAGTAATAACTAGGATACCTAGGCACATACATGCACACACATATATATATACAAATGTGAAAATATATATATATATATGTATTATGTTTACAGAATATATTTAAATGTAATTTATTTTACACATATGTATATAAGCATGTAACACACAGTCATAACGCATAGTCTTTTTGATTTTATTTTAATAAAACATTTTCATGTAGTGTGTGTAACTTTTTATAATTTATGCACAAAGTAAAATATACCTAAATTTACAACAGTTATTTTCCTTAAGTATACATATATATAACACTTTCAATTTAATTATGTCTTGCGTCATACATATATAAATCCACCACCAGAATATTCCAATCGTGCTTGTGGTTCGACAAATGCTAACCAATCGGATGCATGCGTCGGAAGTAGTCCCATAGATTGACATTTATACAACGCCAATGCAATGTTTACCAGTTGCCCCAGAAAGTATACGAATTTCTGGCCGAAAGCATGTGTTCCTTCGATTACTTTAAACGCTATAAAAAAAAATACAATTTTCAAAATAGCAGCGCAAATATTTCTGTTCGCCCATATTTAATGTCTGCCGACTCTCATACAATGGAAAATCAATAACACGTAGAAAACTTAACCATTAACGCTCCAAGTGTACCTCTCAAGCACTACCAATGCACAGTGCTCTACTCCAAATGTATTTTTGGGTCGTTATCGGTAATTTTTTAGAAATAAAAAATAAGTGTCTTGTTTGTTCACCGAAAAGGAAGTATTGCGGCAAATAAACAAACAGTTTTCTACAGTGAGACCTGCGAACGCAAACCCAGTTTGCATCCCGATGTATGTTTTAAAAAATTCCACACATTACTCAATTATAATTAATATAAATATTGTAATCAAACTTATATTACTTCTACGATGAATAAAGATTCTTATGAACGACTTTAATATTATTATTTATACATCACTGTAGCATTTAAAATCTGACGCTTGAAAACTTGCAAGTCAAAGTACAATGAGAATAAGTTTGAGTTGTCGGTCGATATTCACCATTAAAAGTCGGAGTGTTAAGGGTTAATACTACGTATCATGGAACGCTATACGTATAAAAATACATACTAATATAAATACTTACTTTGTTGAAGAGTAAATAGCGCTTTCACTGGCCTGATGATCAACATACCAACCATCATTATAGGAAATATTGCAATAGAATTACCTGCCATGTATATAATAAATAAATTCATTGGAACTTGTTTCAAAGGACCTAATGCTAGATCCCATGATTTTTTCATTATCAAATGATTAGAATCTGTTTCTCTGATAGAATCTGCTGCGTGGAATAACGCAACAGCTGGTGTATAACCTGGTGGAAAAGGGATGTCCACATTTTTGTCCTGTTTACTTCTACAAAAGACAATATCATAAGTTTTATATTTATAGCGACCGAACATTAACAAAATGTACAAATAAGAATAATTACATTTTATTAACTCTAGGATGAAAAACATAACATTAACATTTTAATTTTAAACGCTTTAAATTTCTAATTAGTTCACAATATGATGCCAGACGACTACATAAATAAAATAGTATTTCATAACCTATACCCTTGCTAATTATGTATTAAAATCTACGATATAATTGAGAAACAATTTTCATTGATACATTTAGTTTCCATGACTAATATCATACGCTAGATAGAAATTTCAGACAATTCCATGTAATTCGATATATTGCAAGAAATTATAATTAGTAAACATAACGATTTTTACTTCAAAGACGTAAATTAAATAAGATGATTACTAACTTATGTGCAAAATCCAAAGCCCATTTCGATCGTTTTGTGTTTTGCTTAACTGCAGCCATTACCATTAAATGTAATTTATACTTCTTATATTATTATTGTTGTCTCTTTACGATTGTACATTACTCTTCGATACACACATTCATACACGACAGGCACAATATGGCTACGACTATATAATGATGTCTACTAGAGATGGCGTGAATTGCTACTGTTTATGGCGGCTAACGTCACAGGCGTAGCAAGCGCCATCTAGTTAAGTCCCTAGTTTTAGTTAGTTTAATTAAGATCTAAGTCACTAGTTGGTAGTATTAGATTTAAGATGCCGTAAGTACACCTTTTTTCTTGGCCCAGGAATATTTTAGGGACCAGTTCTGTTCGACGCCTACGCAAAGCAAGAATTAAGAAAGCAGAGTGTGCTTAAATAAAGTCTTTTTTTTAATACAACAATAGAATTGAATTTTATATCTGAAGACTCTCCCAGCGTGAACCTATCCACCTGTTTTTTCTTTTTTTTTTTTTTTTTAGTAATTGGACTTGTAAATGTATGTACATACCTTGAATATCAGCCTACTTAACCTATTCAGTCTTAGTTTATTTGTACTTATTTTACTACTTATGCCTAGATTATAATAACAGTTTATGGTGGAGTAGGAACGCATCAATGATCAGGAGCGCCTTAATGTTGGGTTGTTGCAGATATGTCTGAATGCGGTGAGGTGGTTTCCAGGTATTGTGTTCCAGATCTCTTATCATGGTTTCCCTCTGATCTTTAGTCAGGGGGCAGACCCACAGAATATGGTCTAGGGTCTGCTCACTGTATCCGCAGGTGCAAGCCGAGCTTGCTATGATATGGCACCTTGCAAGAGAAGCCGCCAGATTGTAGTGCCCAGCCCGAGCTCTGTTTATCCAGACTGTGGTCCGTCTTGGAAGTTTCGTGTTATAAAACCAGGGGTGTCTTGTTCTATGGTAGAAATCCCTGAAAAATAGGGTCCCTTTATAAATTCCCTGTGTTTTCCACTCCTCCTCTGAAACATGGTCGATATTCTCTTTTAGGTGTTGTGTGATGTCTGTATATGGGATGCAGCAGTTTGATGTGGAGAACGGTTTTGGCGAGTGAGTCAGCGAGCTCATTGCCTTCAATGTCGCTGTGCGAGGGGACCCACATGAGTGTGATCTCCCCAATTTTTGTTTCTTCCCTGAATGTTTTAAGTCCTTGTTTGATCTCTGCTATGTATCTGTTGGATTGAGGTGTGAGCGGGGCTTTTTGCAGGCTTTGTAACACACTGAGCGAATCCGTGCATATCAAGTATGACTTTGTCCGGTTTCTGAGTGCATATTCCACTGCCATCTTCATGGCTGCACATTCTGCCGTGAAGACGGAGGCAGACTTTGGAAGTGTCGTGGCTTCGCTGTAGCTGTTATGGGGCACAATGCAAGCTGCGCCGACAGTGGTACTGTGCTCCGATTTGGACCCATCAGTGAATATCATTATGTGGTTTTTGAAGAAGGTATTTGTGATGTCTAAAAAGACTTCTGCCGGTCTTGCAGAGGCTTGAAGGGATTTGGAAAGGGAAGTGGCTATTTCTGGCTGGAATACAAGAGTGGAGAAGTCTGTTGTGTTGTGTAGGAAGTCAGGTAGAGTATCGATGAGAGGTATGAAGTCTTCTATTGCCTTTAGGCTTCTTACTAGAGGTCTGTCCTTATGTGGGTGAGGGTTGCTCCTATGCTGCTGCATTCTGTATGTATCGCAGAACTGCACTAGAGTACTAAGGAAGGGGTGTGAGCTATTGGAGATACATTTAGCGAGGTACTTGGCCCCCAGAAAAGTAGCTCTGTCTTTTAAATATGCTATTTTGGCTTCTGCCATTATTACGTTTTTTGGAGTGGAGATTCTGTATCCCATTGCTATTCTTATGGCACTGCTTTGGATGCGTTCTAGCTGTCCTCTCGTTTCCTTGTCACGTGGATAGTACCACATGATGCCGTACTCTATTTTGACGCGAATTAGTGATCTGTAGATCAGTGTTAAGGTTTCAGGGTCGCACCCCCACCATGTTCCTCTCAGAAATTTTAGCACATTAAGCATTTTGAAGCCTTGAACGAGAATTTTTTGTGAGTGAGCCTTGAAATTTAAATGCTGGTCGATACGAACTCCCAGAAATCTTGCTGCCGGTTTACTTGTTATGGTATGATCGTCTATGCGTATGTCAGTTTGTAGAGGTCTCGTCGGGGAATTGTTGAATGATAATATTTCTGTTTTGGCCAGTGAGAGCTGTAGCCCTATTTCCTCAAGACTGCTTTTGATAGTGGAGATGGCTTCTGTCAGTCGTTCTTTGGCGTTTTGAAAAATGGTGTCCTGTGTAGATATTGCAATGTCGTCTGCATATTGTGTGATGAGCACACTCTCGTGGAGGTTGTCCATGATGCTCCCTGTGTACAAGTTAAAAAGTAGGGGACTGAGCACCCCTCCCTGAGGGACGCCTTTATGAACTTTTAGATTTTTGAAGTTTTTTTCCAGGTATTCATTTCCAATGAAGCTGGTTCTTCTCTCGTACATCCACTGCGAAATGAAATGCAGTGTGTGGCCTTTAATGTTATGTTCTGCGAGTTTTTTGCAGGAGGATGCTTCTTTGCACGCCCACCTATGTGTGAATCTAGCCGCTACTAAAACGCCATCTTTCGGATCACGATCGTGAATGGAGTTTAATCACGAGCGTGATCGTGATTTTGTGATCCCTGTGATAAATCACCGTCAGTGATTTTTCACGCCATCTCTAAATTGTCTACTATGGCATGAACTAATCAGTTTGCTAGAGAGATATGGATATTTAAAATATTCACGGATCGAACATAATCAATTGTGCAATTTAATTGTCAATTAAAAATAGAGGTAGGCCTGTATGTATCTAATCTGTGATGGATAGGTTTGCGCTGGGAGAGTCTTCAGATATAAAATTCAATTCTGTTGTTGAATTAACGAAAGAATTTATTTCGCGTCGAACAGAACTGGCTCCTAAAAATCCCTGGGCCAAGAAAAAGGGGGTGCGCCAACTTAAATCTAATACTACCAACTAGTGACTTAGATCTTACTTAAACTAACTAGAAACTAACTAAAACTAGGGACTTAACTAGATGGCGCTTGCTACGCCTGCGACGTTGCCGCCACAAATCGTAAAATGATTAGGATAAATTATGACATCTTCAAAATAAAAACATAATCATACTACTATATTTTGTCATTTTATTGTAATATTAATTTTGATTAATTTTTAATGCGCCAATACAGTTTTAGTTAATAATTTTATATTTTATGCGTGTATTAATCTATTTAATAAATAATGGACAAATACTGTATAAATGACCAAAATGAAATTTTGAGTAGAACTGAAGAAAACAGAAATCTTTTTAACAAGAAATCCATAAGCAAAGTTCGTTAGAATTTATTACATTAGTGTTTTATATATTGATTATAAACATAAACAATTTTTTATAAAAACTAATATAAAATAATATTATTAATTCTTTAATCACATTTCAATTTACTTTATTATTTATTATTATTAAATGGTTATTTTATTTCGTTATAGTGCTTTTATTATCTAATGCATGATATGGTTGTAATAATTTAAATATTCATGGCTATAGCGATCTATTAATATTTTTAATAGATTTATGATTTTTTACTTCTAGACGAAAAATGATATTTCGCTGTCTGATGTTAAAGACTGTCTCACAGAATATACTTTAGAAGACAAAGTTGAAGCTTTGAAAAATACCCTCGTCCACAATGAAAAACATAAACACGAACTACTATCATGCAGGAATATAATGCGCGATACTAAAAACAAAACTGGGGTAAGAGTTTAGCGAACAATAATTAGTTTTATTCCTTCAACCCTTTGACTGCCACACCGAAATCACATGTTTTGCTCAGAACGCCACAGGCGTGCACCATCAGACGCAGGACTTCATAGAAATTAATCTTTTATTATCGATGTTCTAATGAACATTTGTAATTGCTCAATGGGGCACTTGTTATTTCAAAGTATCTTCTAATTAGCGATTACGTTAAAAATGTACTAAGTGTAAATTTTCATTCGACTCTTACAATTGTAAGTAGTTCAAGCGCTCCGGTCACTGATGACCACTGTGGCGTCATGGGAGAAAACGTGGCTGGTCATGTATGACCAACGTGGCATTTCATTCATTTATTCAAGGTAAAAGAATGTCTACAAGCAAACCAAGAAACACCATTTCAAACGCTTATCTCTGAATTAAGAAACACTGTGATGAATAGTTACTGGAATAATGAAGTTGGTAGAACACGCTATCAGGTTCCAAATCTTCCGGTGGGTATGAACCCATTGGAAACAACTTTTGGGAAAAAAATTGAATCTGGTATAAATTAATTACTATTTGTATTATTGTGCATTACCTAATACTAAATAAAAGTAAATAAAAGTATAAAAAAAATTTTAATGGGAGATTCTTGGGGCCAAAATAAGACGAAAATCAAGAATGTCAATTTGTTGATCGAGGCTTCGTTAAAAAGTTATTAACGTTTAAAGTTGCCCCTGTAGATAGGCAATCTGCGTACGCGTCACTGCGCACGCGTCGGTATCGTGCGCGCGCAGCTGTTCTCAGATTGCCATTCTACAGGGGCAACTTTAAACGTTAATAACTTTTTAACGAAGCCTCGATCAACAAATTGACATTCTTGATTTTCGTCTTATTTTGGCCTCTAGAATCTCCCATTAAAATTTTTCCCAGAGAACACCCTGTATTTTATAAGAAAAAATTAATAACTATACTGTAACATTTAAAGTAAATCTCGGTACATTTTTATTATTAATAAAATGTTCTTTATCAATTAGAAGCAACTATGGCTGAATTACTTCAAGCAAAAACAAGTCAAATTGATATTTTAAACAAAGATGTTCTTGCAATGTATAAAAAAAGTCATAACAGTTATCAGCCTGGAGAGCAAATTAAGAGACAGTATGAGATAAAATTATAAATTTGTGTTTATTATTTCGTACCATACCGAACATAAATTCTGTTTTCAGCTATAAAGAACCATTCGATCAAAGTCTCGTATTTGGGAAATCAAAAAATATTAATATTGATGGGTCGCGAGTAAAAAAGCTACTAACATGGATCAATTCTGATCCTACCGCAGTAGTTAATTCTATTTTAGCAGATTTTATGGAACATTCACATTCTCGGGTTGGAGAAGTAAGGTATAATAAATACTAATGACAAATTAACTTTAACAAAGTTGCTAAAACGTTTTTTTATTTCATAAATTCAATTAAAAAATTGTAATATTTATGTTCCTTTTAAGTCATTGAAATTAATTTTTTCAGGAATATCAAGAATGCATATTTATATACGTCTATGATACATGGTAAAGCAAATGAAAGAAAAGAAACAGATCAAATGGCAACTGTTTTAAATAACTGCTCTATAAACAATGATGTAACGTTGCAACAAAAATACTTGCAATACATAAACAGTTTACGCCAAAAACTTAAAAAACGCATTCCAGAAATTCCATTTTTAGATATTTACGAGGATTTGTTGTGTCTTGATAAAGTAATGCATTTTTTATTTCATACTCCTATATTGAATTCTAAACTTGAATACAAAATTTAACAATAAATTTGAAAATCAATTTTTTTAATACAATGTACTAATTATACAAATTTTAGTACTCTGACATAATTACATTATTTTCATGAGAAGACTTTTTACTGAAAATACAACCAATCAAATATTTTTTAATTTCAAGAAAGGTATTTAAAAAGAACCTAAGTGATTAATATAGAAAGTCGTTTTCGTTCGATAAAAACAAAAATCTTCGGATTCTTATTGACGATTAATTTAAGTAATTAAAGAAAATTAACGTATGCATAGGATTATGTGGGAAACTTACCAGAAGACAATGTTATTTCTACGTTAGCTAAATACAAAATACATATAAATAAAGTACTTTTAACACCACTATTGGATCTCCTTCAAATACGTAAAAAAAATAATGTGAATTACAAAGAATTACTAAATCTGTTAAATTGGAAATACGATTTTCCTACATTACCAAAAGTAGAAAGTAATATATTTTAATCTTCTTTTAATAATATTATTTCTAATAACACTTTAATCATTCTATTAACATAATACACTCAGTCGAGACTTTTAAAAATCAAAATTTTTCAGAGATACCTATAGAATGTCAATACTATAGTACTACATATAAAGAGACAATAGGAAATATGGATGGAATAGATACTACAAGTTAGTACATTTGTTACGTAAATTTTATATACAGGGTGTTCGGCCACGCCTAGGAAAAATTTTAATTGGGAATTCTAGAGGCCAAAATAAGACGAAAATCAAGAATACCAATTTGTTGATCGAGGCTTCGTTAAAAAGTTATAAACGTTTAAAGTTAAAGTGTGCAGCGCGCGCGTTTCCCGTCTCACAGGCGCAACTTTAAACGTTAATAACTTCTTAACGAAGCCTCAATCAACAAATTGGTATTCTTGATTTTCGTCTTATTTTGGCCTCTGGAATCTACCATTAAAGTTTTTCCCAGGGGTGGCCGAACACTCCGTATATCTTTTATTAAAACAAGAATTAATTTTAATGAGAATGATTTTGAAATGTGTTATAGAGGACGTTATTTTGAATAACTTTTTAGATGCATCTAAAGTAGAAAATCTAGTAATTTTAATTTAAATGTTTATTTTCACAGATATTCCTACAGCAGGAATTTCGTCTGGAGATTTTAAAGATAGGACTTCTGCTTACAGCCTTATATTTCCAAACGTCTTCACAAGACATGGTCTAAGTCATACAGACCTCTTCAAAGTATGTATAACAAAAATATTAATTCGCGTAATAATATTTCGAACTACAAACTTGGAAATTTGAGGAATAATAATTAAATTCGACATTTATTAATAATATTCTATAGCTTAGAAGCAAAGAAGAAATAAGAAATATATTTGAAAATATTGGAGTTGAATTTTCTGATAACAGTTTTGATTTGCTGTGGGAAAAAGGATTAAAACAGGATGGCACAGACACTCTATCTGTTGAAACATTTAGGTCCTTACTTGACCAACACGATTCAATGATTAACAAAATAAATTAATAATCTGTACTGTATGTTTAAATAGTCTCTTATATTCGAAGTGTAACGTTCATTTCAACTATATACATAAATATAAATTTTCTGTACTTTTTGTACACTGTGTAGTAAGTTTTGAGATCATGTCGAACAAGTATTATGAAATCTATTTCTACTGTATTATATCTTTCTCTAAGTTATACAATTTTTTTGCAAATATCATTTTTTCCCTATGATTTAAAATTATAAAGATATAAAGATGTGTATTTCTATTATAGCAGGGCACACCCTCGCTCTCTGTCCGCGCGCGAGTGTATACAATGTTCGGCCATCCCTGGGAACGGCAATCTGCAAACAGCTGCGTGCGCACGATAGTGACGCGCACGCAGCTATGCGCAGGTTGCCTATCTACAAGCGCAACTTTAAACGTTAATAACTTTTTAACGAAACTTCAATCAACAAATTGCTATTCTTGATTTTCGTCTTATTTTGGCCTCTAGAATCTCCTATTAAAATTTTAAGATCAAAATTTTAATATTAATAATTCACCTATTATTTCATGAATTTAAACAAATCTTAAAAAATCAATGTGCACGAGTTCAGTATGATTTTAATAAGATAATTAACGAGTAAATATTCTTAAATTTGCGTTATAATACCACACGTGTTTAACAAGAATTTTGAACGTAAATCCTTTTCTTCGAAAGAATCCAATTCAGATCCTAAGAACTCAGGAAGATGTACGTCTTTTTTGATTTTTGATAAAATAATTCAGCCACCAGTGAATGTTTCCGGAATTAAAAATTTTAATGGGGGATTCTAGAGGCCAAAATAAGACGAAAATCAGGAATAATAATTTTTTCAATTAAGGCTTCGTTAAGAAGTTATTAACGTTTAAAGTTGCGCCTGTGAGACGGGAACCGTGCGCGCTGCACACTTTAACTTTAAACGTTTATAACCTTTTAACGGAGCCTCAATCAACAAATTGCTATTCTTGATTTTCGTCTTATTTTGGCCTCTAGAATCACCCATTAAAATTTTTCCCAGGGGTGGCCGAACTCTTTGTATACTTATATACAATTCTTCCCTGAGAAGGTACAGCATGTTTACATCCCCAATTCTGTTGCAGTCCGCTGACTCACAGGTATTGGCCAATCAGCGGACTGCAGCAAGAGTGGGGATGTAAACACGCGGTGCCTTCTTCTTATGGAAGGACGATACAAATACTTATCGTTCATAAATATCACTAATCTTGTGGTTTCAAAAATTTTGGTCGTTTCGGTAACGGTTCGTCACTATTTTCTTTCAATGGTTTTTCATACTTATATTCGTGTTTTACGTTTTTTCTAAAAGCTTTAAAATGTTCTGTCATTTGTTCATCCGACACGTCTGTTTCTTTTTTTGTTTCCACTACGCTGCGTTCATTGTTCCATTCCGCCTCCATTAGTTTTTCTATTTCAGGATTCATACCTTGGAAACTTACTCTACCTTCCATTAATTTCTCGCAGAAAACATAGCTAGGTTCAATGATGAATCTGTCTCTTGAATAAAAAAAATGAAGCACATATTTTATTTTTATTTTATATATAATTTTGTTACGTTCCATGTCAAATCATGTTTTATTGTTTCCAATCGATTTTAGTTTATAATTATTAGCTCCTTGCAGTTTATAGCGCAGCATATAGGGGCATAGGTATTTTTATTACAACGTAAAGAAAACTTACGAGTCTGTCTTCATGCGCTTCGTCAGTTCACTTCCGAAATATTCTTCACCTTCTTCTTGAAATTGTTGCTTTTCTACTTTCTCTTTAGTCCGTTTCATAAACTATTTGCACAAATAATACACAGTTTAATACTATAATAAATGTTGCGTAGAAATTTGTGTAATAGAAAAAACTGTAGTGTTAACCTCTTTAACTTACTTTCATCTCCAGAATACTTTTTGATAATTTTGCTTTATTCGATTCCATTGCTTTATTTTAAAAACTGAATTATTGCTATTATATTCAAATGAAAGTACACGTAACAATTATTGTTTTCGCGTTACAAATACACATTATTCGTTTCACGCAAATACGAAATGCGGGCAAACAAAACCACGTGACTGCAAGCTGTGTAACTATACACGTGCAAATCACGTTTTAAGCCCCCTCGCAGTGATGCCAGACAGAGCCCTCGGTGCACTCCTCATTTCACATCCGCACACTATGACAGATCACGCATAAGTGAGCTCGTAAAGTTTCGGAGATCAGTGATGGACATTCGTGGGAATTTCGGTCATGCGCACTGAAGCGTATGATCAATGCTAAGTTACAGGGAAAGAGACAAAAACAAAAAATTTTCTCTTAATCTACATGAGTATAGCTAGAGAAATACGTAGGGGATCTTCGATAAGTTAATTTTTGTGTGATTGGCGAGCATTTGAAGTAGAAAGTTTAATTTTGTACAAAACATGGGAATTTCCAACATGCGCCTCTTTTTTGCGCTAAAGATACATCTATGGTAGCGGGCGACATGTAGCTGTGACGTCAGCTTACGCATGCGCAGAAAAAAATCCCACGTGGGAAAATTCCAGTGCGCATGACCAAAATTCCCACGTGTCGATCACTGGTTTACACCAGTGACGCTAGACAGAGCCCTCAGTGCACCGGGAACTCCTCACTCCACTATAGATGGCGTGCAAAATCACTAACAGTAATTTATCACTGTGATCACAAAATCACGATCACGCTCGTGATTAAACTCCATTCACGACCGTGATCCGAAAGATGGCGTTTTAGTAGCGGTTCACGTTAACTGTGATCGTTAGTGTTCCGCTAATTCCCTTCAGAGGAAATTCAAAGAAATGCGCCAAATTTAAATTGTATAGTAATGTAGTCTAACAATAAGAAATGAAAAAGGCTGGGTTAGATCTGGGTTATTGTTTAAAGATAACAAAATAGATCATTTTGATGGTTTTAAATTAGTCTTGCTTTTGAAAATATCTTTTCGCCAATTCATCTAATATTTTCTACTTTGCATATTAAAATATATGGTACGTTTTTACTTATAATAACTGCTTTAGCTATAATTGGCTCTTCTAATAATATGTATATTGCGATGCGGGAACAAAGCGCGGAACCGACTTATGTGGACAACGCGCCTCTTTTTGCGCTAAAGATACATCTATGGCAGAAAGCTAACGCATGCGCAAAATGGAATCCCACGAGGGAAAATTCTAGTGCGCATGCCCAAAATTCCCACGAATGTACCGAACGACGCCTGGTTTGGAATTTGAAATATTTGAAATAGGTTCAAATTTATATAGATATATTACAAATTATGAAATGTGAAAATACTTTTCTTAATAAAATAAAAAAAAAAAGTATTTTAAAATATATTTTTAATAAATCAATTCTATTTTTTCCTTATATTCCAAGTACAAAAAATACGAAAATTTTGTTATGAATAAATGTAACATATTATTATTATTCGTAAAAACGAATACTATAGACATCGTTACACATAAATTATAAAAAATATAAAACACATTCTTAGTTTTTATAAACTGATAATATGTTTAATATTATATATGAATGTAAAAGTAAAACAAAACATTATAAGTTTTAAATATAATATTTATGTGTGAAGGTCGAAGTTGTTACGGATTGATCGTTTTTGGTTCAAGTATCGATATAACACAATAGAAAAATTTTGTTTTACAAAATTCATGTTCCCAAATATGATAACAAAATAAAATAAAAATTCAAAAGTTTTCATGAAACATACGCATTTAAGGTAAAAACTTAAACAAAATTGTAATATTTCTGTTATAAATATCTAATACCGATATTTACGTTCCTCATTGTATACGTCTACAATAATTTTCTAATTTTTAAAAATCGTTTGCTGGTTTATTTGTTATCACTGAACTAAAATGATGATTCGAAATTCTAACTGAACATTCAAGAACAACTTTCAAACGTGCATGTAGAAAAAAAGTTATATAGAGGAGCTCGTTAACTTGAATATTTCCATAATATTTAAAAATATGGAAAAACTTCATTTACTAGAGTTGTAACTATGACTACCACCATACTGAACAACTTTCGTAAATAAGATCTTTCCATGTTTTCAAAAATAAATGGAGATATTAAAATTGGTTAAAATTATTGGGCCATCCAGTATATAACGAAATTAATTGCTTAATAGTTTATGTAAATGAAATTCATTCTTGGAAGATATTTAAAATGAAAATATTGTTTATCAGTATAGGATACAAGTATTAGCTATTTACATTTGGTGTTTCATGTGTTACTGTTTTACTTATTTATATGTGTATCATAGATCCTTATACGTAATAAATTATTGATATTACAAATTCATTACATGCAGGAAGTATACACTTCGCTGAGAAACATCGATGTACATTCACACAATTCGCGAGTATCCGTAGTGTACTTTACAATTTAATAAGTTCAACAATATAATTACGATATTAATCTTCTAATAACACAAAATTGAAGATATCAGCCTATAAAGTAGTCAATTTTTAATGTACAGACCTTTGTTCTTTTTTATTATAATATTTTACAATTAGATACTTGTATGCTTTTGCTTAATATTATGGATTATACAATTTTTATTCATATCTAGATGAAATTTGATTCGACCAATTTTTAAGAAAAAAATTACCTCTTAAAATTGTCGCAAAAATTTTGAAATAATATTTACATACCTGTGACGATAATGAATATTTTATCCGCTATCTTATTATTGCACTTTAATTTACGAATTAAAATTATAGAACAGTGGTTCTCAACCAGGAGTCCACGGACCCCAAAAGGGTCGTAGATAGATTTCTGAAGATTCGTGAACTTGCACACAGAAATATTAAATATTTATTTTTGTTGCAGAAATTATACCTAAAAACGAAATGAAATGTTCATACCAAGTATGAAGTATCACAGAACAAAAATTTTGATAAAATCTAAACGCAAAAAGTCTCCAAGGATTTTGATATTCCTTGAAAGAAATCTTCGTCTTTGACATTAATTTTAATAATACTTGAACGTTATTTTGAGAGAGGAGGAGTCTCTGTTAGACTACCAAGGTCTGTAAAACAAATAAGTTGAAAACCGTTGGTGTAGTTAAAATGAACTACTTTTGTTCCGATATCTTCAATTCCTGGCAATAAATCTCTTTTCTTTTGTTAAAACAATACGCACACGTATATGCCTTCGTACATGTGTCTATTTATACAGATACATGTATATGTTTATATGTATATGTAACAAATTGTATTACCTAAGCCTCGATGCACACGAGAGGTGCATCGTCGTTTCTATGTTTTTTCTTGCTTCGCAATTGAAACAACGAAGCCAGACAAGACCAGCATTCCTATGTCTGTCTCGGCTGTTTCAAATTACAAGAGACAACATAGAACGTACCACTCGTATGCATCTAGCATAAATTAGACGCAGAGTTTAGATAAGATTTTGTTCTGAAAATATTGAGTAAGTTTGTAGATAAATTTTCTATAGCCATTATTTTATATTTAATGAATGCTGTCAGATGTTCGTCTTACTGTAATGTAATGGACATGACTGCAATGAATGATAGGAATCGTAAAATATAGACACTTCACTTCATATCCAAATTGTCAGGAACCTCACAATTTCATCCACAATTCCTGACAGTAATCTGTTATTGTCACCTTTACCTTCGATTACCAAATTGCGCGATGATCTCTGCAAAAAGACAATTTCGTCAGAAACGTTCGATTGCCACGTGCCAGTTGAAGGAATTATTTTCCACTCACGTCATATTTCCATAAAAGGCACACATGATGTCCTTTCAGAGATTGTCCATAGAGGGCCACAGTGTCGCCAATTCTTTCCACAATAATGAAATTGAACTTACAGCAGATGAAATTTAAAGTGTAACGAAAATCTCGGGAAAGAACTACGTCCTTTTTGACTTTGTATATGAGTCCAGTTTTAAGTATTAATTCTGTCGGTATGTCCTTGTGTGAAAAAGGACGGAACATAAACGTACTACATGGCAGCGTCATAGTAAAATCAATTTTTTCCTGTAAAGTACTTTCCTTGTTTTCTATCATGTACGTAAGCGTGCCCCTCAATTTCTGAGCAAATGTCACATCTGAAATTATGATAGTAAATTTTATTTCTTTACTAGTCTCCGAAGGCAGTTGGAATGGCACTTTTATACCAAATTCATCTCCAACCTGAAACAAAAAAAAATATGTTACAAGGTTTGGTCGTTGTACTTAGTAAATATTGTATGTAATGTAAGGATTGGTAAATTTAAACTGACATGCGATGAAGGCCTTAACTGTAAATTAGCATAATTTCTCTTTATTTAAAGCTGCCTTGTGCTAACTTACATTTCTCATTAATCTTAGCGAAGATGTATCTAGAACATCAAAAACTAGTTCCTTTACAGGATTTTGACAGTAATTCACAATCTGCACTATCGCTAGTAACTTATTTGACTCTTGAGGAATTTGTTCCAAGTAATACGTCATTGAAATCACTTTATCTTTAGCTAACTCTTCGTACGGATTCAATAATTCCGTGAACGGTTTTTTCTCATCGGAATTTGTAAAACTGTATCTCAAGTCTGGTAATATTTCTTTTGACGGAGTCGAGATTCCTGCTGTTTCTTCGTAATCTGAAGATTTCTTGTCCCTTTTACTTTTAGACTTCTTTGACTTTCGATGTTTTGTGTCATCGTCAGTTTTCTTATGCTTCTTTTGGCTTTTTGATTTTTTATGTTTAACATCCTTCTGTTCCGAATCTTTATCACCGAACACCTGTGTATATTCATTGATAACAGAAGACTGAATATTTTCCGAAGGAATATTATTTTCCAACCACATGTCGGCAAGTTCCAGCTGATTGTCATGTCGTTTCTCTTTAATTTCTTTAACTTTCTTCTTAGACTTCTTGTGTCCCTAGTAAACAATACAATTTTGTTAAACCGGAAACAATACTTAAGATAAATTACATCGCATTATACAGGGTGTTCGGCCACCCTTGGGAAAAATTTTAATGGTGGATTCTACAGACCAAACTAAGACGAAAATCAAGAATAGCAATTTGTTGATTGAGACTCCGTTAAAAAGTTATTAACGTTTAAAGTTGCGCCTGTGAGACGGGAACCGTGCGCGCTGCACACTTTAACTTTAAACGTTAATAACTTTTTAACGAAGCCTCCATCAACAAATTGCTATTCTTGATTTTCGTCTTATTTTGGCCTCCAGAATCTCCTATTAAAATTTTAAGATCAAAATTTTAATATTAATAATTCACCTATTATTTCATGAATTTAAACAAATCTTAAAAAATCAATGTGCACGAGTTCAGTATGATTTTAATAAGATAATTAACGAGTAAATATTCTTTAATTTGTGTTATAATACCACACGTGTTTAACAAGAATTTTGAACGTAAATCCTCCTTTCTTTGAAAAAATCTAACTCAGACCCTAAGAACTCAGGAAGATTTACGTCCTTTTTGATTTTTGGTAAAATAATTCAGCCACCAGTGAATGTTTCCGGAATTCAAAATTTTAATGGGGGATTCTAGAGGTTAAAATAAGACGGAAATTAAGAATTGCAATTTGTTGATTAATGCTTCGTTAAAAAGTTATTAACGTTTAAAGTTGCGCCTGTGAGACGGGAACCGTGCGCGCTGCACACTTTAACTTTAAACGTTAATAACTTTTTAACGAAGCCTCAATCAACAAATTGCTATTCTTGATTTTCGTCTTATTTTGGCCTCCAGAATCTCCTATTAAAATTTTAAGATCAAAATTTTAATATTAATAATTCACCTATTATTTCATGAATTTAAACAAATCTTAAAAAATCAATGTGCACGAGTTCAGTATGATTTTAATAAGATAATTAACGAGTAAATATTCTTTAATTTGCGTTATAATACCACACGTGTTTAACAAGAATTTTGAACGTAAATCCTCCTTTCTTTGAAAAAATCTAACTCAGACCCTAAGAACTCAGGAAGATTTACGTCCTTTTTGATTTTTGGTAAAATAATTCAGCCACCAGTGAATGTTTCCGGAATTAAACATTTTAATGGGGGTTTCTAGAGGCTAAAATAAGACGGAAATTAAGAATTGCAATTTGTTGATTAAGGCTTCGTTAAAAAGTTATTAACGTTTAAAGTTGCGCCTGTGAGACGGGAAACGCGCGCGCTGCACACTTTAACTTTAAACGTTAATAACTTTTTAACGAAGCCTCAATCAACAAATTGCTATTCTTGATTTTCGTCTTATTTTGGCCTCTAGAATCTCCCATTAAAATTTTTTCCCATGGGTTGACCGAACACCTTGTATTGAACTGTTTAAGACACAAACAAGTAAATAGAATAGAAAGTTACTTTTTCTTTTTTGTTTCCTTTAATTTCAGTACTTTCTCGAATCAAATTGTTTTCAAGAACTCTATGCTCTAGGACAGGCAACCTTTCATCTTCCCTCAAAGGCATATCTAGGTCAATATTTAGAGCTCTGTGAGGATCATTCGCATCCACTTTATCATAATCATCGCTATCGCTTAGTTCTGCACCGGGTGGAAGTTCACCTATACCTGTATTCACCACTTGAATAGGATAATCATCGTCTTGTTCGTCTTCTGAGGCAGATTTTTTATCTATTCAAGATTGAATAATTAAAATTAATTGTCAAGCATTTTGAAACACGAATGGGGATTAATATAAAATTTTAAACATACTTTTCTTGGATTTCTTCTTTTTTTTACCGTGCACTTTATACCTCTTATGACTGTTTACGATCTTTAAAGAAACCGGAATATCCAACTCCGCGACAGGAATGTTTTCAAACTCTTCGTAAATGTTCGATGAATTGTGATATGATCGGGAGTTCTTAAACGTGCCTTTCAAGTAATGTGGGTTGTTTTGTTGCTCCAATTTTCTAGCTTCACGACGCTTTTCAAGCTCTTCTGCCGACGGCTCATTAAATTCTCGTTTACAATAGGAATCATTTGTTTTATCTGTTTTAATAAAAATATCATTCATATCTAAATCTTCTGAATCTGAACTTTCTGACGGTGGATCGTTAATCCATGAATCTAAGTCCAGATCCTCAGGAATTGGCACCTAAGGAAAAACAAGATAGTTTATAGAATTTTATAACTCACCTTTATTATACAGGGTGCTCAATTTTAGTCCATGAATGCAAATTATTCGTAAATTATCCACTATATAAAAGAAATAGTTTACACAAAAATTTAGTAGCTTCGAAGGGAGCATAGTTTTTGGTTTTTTTTTTTCTAAATAGACACATTTTTTGTTATGCTAATCGATACAGCTCGTTATTATTTTTACCATACAAGACAATCTTTATATAACTTATGTAAGAAACGTTCTTTGTATGTACAAGAAATATATTTCAAGTAATCGTTACCTTTCGTTGTGCTTTGGGTGCAACAGGATTAAGTTCACCTTCGAACGCTTCCATAAGCTCTCGTGCCAAGCCAGGATTTTCTTTCAAACATTCAAGTAAAACCAGTGCAGAACTGGATCTTTCTTGAACCTCTAAATCCCCACTGCACACAAAAGCTGCTATTTTATCTTTCAGTTCATAAATCTATAAAATACAAAACCGTTTACGTATTCTCACAATGTGCCAATTCTTGACAAGTATTATATAACATATCGTAATTTACATTATAAGAGTTCTACAAGAGTTTTATAACAGTTTGAACTTAGTTTAATGTATTTGTGGCGCCACCTCCCCGCAGACTGGGCCTAGAGGTGACACCTAAAAAAACTGAGGCCATGAGAGTGGCAGGACAAACCGGTTAGGCTGTCCTACAGGATGACACAGGTGCTCACCGGGCATGGTTGCTTTGGTGAGTACCTGTGTCGAATCGGGAAGGAGGCGATGACGGTGTGCCACCATTGTGGAGACCCCCACGACACGGCGCAGCACATGCTGGAAGCCTGCCCAGCGTGGGCAGATGAGCGCCGTGTCCTGGAGCAAGAAGTTTGAACGAACCTCTCGCTGGCCACAGTAGTTGGCAAGATGGTGGCCAGTGAGAGGACATGGCAAGTGGTGGCCTCCTTTTGCGAGGCAACCTTCGCCTCCTGGCCCCCTCCAATAGCCCTGAGGTCCTGAGGGACCTCCAAGAGCTGGGGCGGCCCATCAACGTTCGCCTCCGGCCATCACGTCGGTGGCCGGGGGATGGATGGGCCGCCCCTGGTGGCTGCAGGTGCTCGGTGCAAGAGGCTCGAGCACCAAAGGCAGTCACGAGGCCGCGGGCGTCGGGTGACCTGGCGTCCTCATTGTTCGCTCTCACTGTCTTTGGACATTTTGACGCAATATGTCCGCGTTCTCTACATACAAAACGCTTTACACCGCGATCTATTGTTGGACAATTTACACTCAAATAATCACGTTCGCCGCAATTGTAACAGCGTGTCTTCTCGCTGACGTTGCCATCCTTTCATTGTCCTCTTGCGTAGACGTTGTCAAGCTTCTCCGTTCTCGTTGACGATGATGCATAGGACGTACCCCGATCCGGAAGCGTCACTTTCTCGAAAGTACTCAATAAATCGTTAATCGTTGTCAGTCGCTGAATACGTGCCTGATGGCGCAATATTTCCTCAGGAATACCCATCAATTATGTACTCTAGTATTTCTTCATCAACTCGGTTAGCCATAATAATTTTTCCATGTACGTATTCATGGAACGACTCACCTATTCTCCATGTACGCTCTTCAAATCCCTTTCTCAATATCAGTCTACATTGCCTGTGATGAAACATGGATTTGAGTTCGCTAAGTAGACGGTCGAATGGCATGGTGATGTGTTTGGCCTTAGAATGCAGCCACTCGAACGCTCGTCCCTTTAGTCGCATGTCCTCCGGTTGATACGTCGTTCTGAGCAACCTGATCTGATTTTCCCACATTTCGAAATCACCCTGACTTACCGTCATAGTTGCTCAACAAATCCGCCATGATGGTTATGTTCACTCGCGGTAGCATACTCGGAATCGAAACGTCATTTCTATGGTTGTTGTTCACCAAAGCAACGATGCCACTACCCCTGTCGCTTACATCAAGATGCCACGCTGCATCGGTTGCTGTAGCTCGATGTTGCTGTTTACGGCCACGGTAACCGGACGCAACGTCTGCCGCCATTGCTATTCGATTTCTGCATTTTGCTGATGATGATCTTTGAGTGTCCAAAGCTGTGGGGGAGGTATTGCACCCCCCGCCGGCCCCCACAGCATGAGCCAACCTCTCCTCCAAGCGGTGGACGCTGAGCAACGAGGCTCTGGCTAAGTAAATATGGGTCAAGTACGGTCGTGGGAGAGGAACCCATGGTTTCAAGATAAAGTAAGACTCTAGAATAAAAGTCCTCATAGTGCAGTAATGCCTTGGAGTCTTGGACTACCCCACCTCATTGATATGTCAAGTCATTCAGAGGGTTAGTAGTTCCAGGACTCGCAGATCTTGGTTGTGGTGAAATCACACCCAACACCGCTGGGATAGGCACACTCAGTACAGCAGAGCAGGACAGCACCAGCTGTATCCTGGAGCTCACAATAAAGGAAGACAATAACTGCATCGGGACTGATGTCTCCTCTCTTCCTTCGTCTTCTATCCACTATCCTGTTGGATCAGCTTCCAATGTACAAGCAAGTAACTCGATTTTTGAGCCTATGCTAGACAACCCATGGCATCATCAACAACTCTTTTAACGCTGGTATTGTGAATCTGTTCAAGTCTCTCGTCGCAACATTCTTTGAACGGCATGCACTACGATGTTCACCATCTCGTACAGACTCTGATACGTTGTCTCTTCTCTCTGTCCTCGCTTTGCATCGTTTCACTATCTTCACTATTCTCCAAAATGCTCCCTTGCTATTTGTAATCCCTGACGAGCCCCCAAATTATGTAGGATTTTTGCAATGGAGACTTAACTATTGGAGGAAAATGAATTGAATATATATACATATCAAACACACCGCAAACATTAACGATAACAAAAACGCACATGTCTCGCTCGTAGCCCCAACCCCCCAACCTAATCACCCCCCCCCCACATCGTTCACTACATCCTTCACTCCTACAAGAGTAAAGTAAGCCATTTTACCTAACACACCATTAAAACTTAAAATCGAAAGTAATGTTCACATAATTTTACAAAGTGTACAAAAAAAATGAAGGATTCACTGTTCATTTTACCTGGTTCATTTTGTCAGTATCCTCATACATTTCAGCTGTACATAATGTCGCTGTAGTAAGTTTTAAAATGTTATGAACATAAACAGCTTGAATATGCCCTGGTAAGCTAGAAGCTTGCGATCTTAACATCGACTGTAACGTTGCCAGAGGATCTTCTAATTCGCTGTCAATTTAATGCATTATTAATTATATTAAAATATTAATTTGAAACAATCTAGATGCATCGTACAATACCTGGAGAACTCCCCACAAATCCATGCAGCGGCATATAAAACTTCAGACATCGTTGCTCTTGGCTGACCTGTTAAAAGGTATGAATTCTCTAGCAGTAAGGCACATTGTTGAACTGCATATTTTCGTATAGCTTGTACACGAATTGCTACGTCAAGTAATTGAGTCGCTACTAATGGTCCATGTTTGGTACCTTCCATTCGTGTAAGTTCAACCAATACAGATATGTACCTATAAACATAAATAAGTATTATACAAATCGCATAGCCGAATAAAAATTAAACACTTTCTATATATCATCGCTTTACCATTCAAAGTAAGTAACAAATTGATAATTATTTTGCGAACAGATCTGAATAATTTTCGAGAGCAGTTCGTCTCTGTAAGCAGTGCCCTCAGCTTTATCCATATGCACCATTAATTTCTTAACTATTTCCATTAAATTTTTCTTCGAGACCATTCCATATAGTAAATCCAAGGCACGCAATCTTATACTTTCATCTTTATCATCCAAGCATTGCATTATAAGATCTTTGTGGGCTTGCACGCTCTTAGGATGAGTCTTCAAAATTTTCGACATTGCTAGCAGCCCCAAGTACTTCAAATTTTGATCAGAATCTTCTATCAGTATCCTTAACTTTTGAACACACAACTGTATTGAATCAGAGTGATTTGGCATGCCAGATGAAATCGAAATTAATACAGCTATTACTGTATTTATACATTCGTACAATAGAGACATTGCTGATGTACTAAAAACCAGTAATATTACGTAATTAGTACCAAATTACATATTTCATGTATGTATTGCTATACTTACATAATTGACAGTTTAGAAAATTAAAACAATAAAGAAGTTACAACAAAATACTGAAAGATTACGAAAAAAAAAAATATTCAAATAGAATTTAAAAGCCATTATACAAGCAGCAATCAAATCTGCTGGTGCATTGTATATCGTTATAATTATTGATAAAAATACATTAAATACCTGTGTATTAAATTTGTAAGGGGTTCTATTAATTTTTTGCCAAGCCTAGGTTCTAGAGGTGTCAACGCGCCAAACTGTAAATATAATTACAATCTAAGAAATATAAGACATAATATACAAATATTTCTAAACATAATTTACACAACGTACAAAGTAAACGCTCACAGGTAAGTATGAAAAGTAAACACAGGCTACTAACGCATACTGCAACTAATATCTATAACTTTACTATATTCTCGTGAGAAAAATAATCAACTAGTATGAAAACCTTGAAATCAGGTCAATTAGTGGTTGAGTGAGTCGCCGACCCATTTTTGGCTCAATCAGTGTTATAGTGGAGAACTGAGCACGTGAAACAATACCAATATTACTTGGCTCATATATATATTTTTAACCAGTTAGCTGTGATTGACGAGTATACTCGTCGTGGCGAAGTGGCAGGATTTTGTGTCATGACGAGTATACTCGTCGTGGAGAAGGGGCAAGATTTTGTGTCATGACGAGTATACTCGTCATGGAGAAGTGGCAGTATTTTGTGTCATGACGAGTATACTCGTCGTGGAGAAGTGGCAGTATTTTGTGTCATGACGAGTATACTCGTCATGGAGAAGTGACAGGATTATGTGTCATTACGAGTCATGAAGAAGTGACAGAATTTTGTGTCATGACGAGTATACTCGTCATGGAGAAGTAGCAGGATTTTGTGTCATGACGAGTCATGAAGAAGTGACAGAATTTTGTGTCATGACGAGTATACTCGTCACGGAGAAGTGGCAGGATTTTGTGTCGTGGGTGTTTTGGGTCATAACGAGTATACTCGTCATGCGTGAAAAATAGTGACCATTGGCTATTTAAATTGTAATTTTTGTGGAAAATAAAACTTATTCTCCAATTTCAATTTCCGATTTTCGCGACACATATAGATGCGCACTCTCAAAAGGGGGCGCCACAGCTAACTGGTTAGTAGCGACACTTACTCTGTGATTGACGAGTATACTCGTCATCGTTCGATTTTCGCGACACATATACGTGCACACTCTCAAAAGGGGCGCCACAGCTAACTGGTTAATCTGTTTCACCTTATTTTTATAAAATCGAAAAATAGCATCCACTCACCAGTTTAATAATTTTTATTAGCATCCAGTTATTGGTAGACGTTGTCATGAGCTTGAAAAATACAGGTGCTAGACTTAAATAGTTTTTTGGATTCTTTCTTGCTAATTCGCAAACTACATTAACTGCGGCGCTTTGCACGCCGCTGTCCGGATCTTCCAACTTTTCTTTCAATCTTGGAAATGCAGGCCGTAAAGCCTCTGGAAATCGTAAGAAAACTTTGTACATCATCAGTACAGCTTTCTTACGCAAGTACGGCTTCGTAGATGTTAATAATGTCATTATGTCGTTAACTAAATCGCGTGCAAGATCTGAGCTTATGAAGCAAGATAGACCGCTCAGAGCCAAACCAGCGTCGTACTGATTTTGGCTGTTCAAGTCTTTACGAATCATGTTGGTAGTCAACATCAAAAGCTGTAATAAATTATCACATTGATTACTATATTATAAAATCGATATTACATTATTTAATATCGATTTTAAATAACGTCATACTTCCGTATCCGCATGAAAACTCTGACTTCCCGCTAAATAACCGATTCGTTTATATGTAAATTTTGCTGATGACATCACTTCGATTATGTTGAAACCAGCCCAGCTAATATCATACCCCAACATTTGAAGCTAAATAAATTTAAATAAATTACATTAGTAATATACAAAATTTAACCGATTAGAAATTATGCGCACGTTAAACTTACATATGTTAGCTTCGCTACAGCGTTCGCTTTGACCGCAACATTGTCTTGTCGTAATTCTTGTTTGATCTCTTCTATACATTGTGCAATATATTTTGCCTATAATAACATCGAAATATTTATTAATAAAAACGAAAAGTAATTCAGATCCTTAATGAAAGTACGAATGAGGTTAGGTCGTCGTAATTGATATTCGAAACCAACCTACGATACATAATTATTAATGTACCTCGTTTTCCTTGTTGTTCCTAATTCCACGTACTAAATCCGTCAGATTTTTGTCGAACATACGTTCGAAATTCCCTTTTACTTTACGAAGAGCCATAATGGCATTTAAAAAATAGATGATATATTTTCAATACCGCTTAAAAGGTTTCTTTCCACATCCGTCCAATATTCCGACTTAATCGGATAATTTGCTTTGATTACATTACCGTATGTTAGAAACCTTAAACATTAATCACAGTCTTACATTTACATTTTTTGACAGATCGGCGGATAAGAAAGTCTTTCGACGATCAAACCTAAGAACTATCGCAAATAGACAAACTACTCAACATTCCATTCATTAGACGAAATTCGCGCAAACATAAAATTCCCAAGTTTCGTCAAATTATAGATTTGCTAGTTACAATTTATCTGTTTCGATTGGTTACCTAGTACGAACAGTGTCACTATATTATAGTTGTAATTAATAATGAAACTTAATAATATGGTTGTGAATAAAGAACAAATTTATAGAATATTTTTTAATATACAAAATATTCCATTCAAAACAAATCACCTAATTACATATTTTCTTTAATTGTGACGGTACAAAAAAATATTTCAAACATAATTTGAATAATTTTGAATAGATTTGCTAGTTACAATTTATCACTATATTATAGTTGTAATTAGAGATGGCGTGCAAGATCACTAACGGTGAGTTATCACAGTGATCACAAAATCACGATCACGCTCGTGATTAAAATTTAATCATTAAATTTCATTCACGACCGTGATCCGAAAGATGGCGTTTCAGTAGCGCAGCTTAGTACAAATGCGCCAAATTTAAATTGTAATGTAGTCTATTCAATGAAAAAGTCTGCTTAATTGCATATTTTGTACATTTCAAATGTGAAATTGTTTCAGACGATTGTTTAAATAAATGATAAGTTTGTTGCCACGAAAAGGTATTGCTCAGGTGTAAAACACTCGTTTTAAAATTAAGAAAAAGTATAAAATCATCAGAAATGAAAATTCTTATGTTCATTTATATGAAAACATACATATTATACATTTATATATGTTTTTATATATTAATATGACATTTTGTATATATTTATATTATAAAGAAATAAGTTAGAATTTAAAATTACAAACAGGTTAGTTTTGCGTATTTGTTGAAAAAGTTTACGAACATTTATGAAACGAATGTTGAAACAATGAGAAATGAAACTTATACTTATATCTATTTATCACTTTTAATTTTTCCTTTTCTTTCTCTTAATAAGAAAATTATGATAACGTTGCTTTTAGAGCATATTATAATATAATACATATTGTACAGTCTAAGGGCATAATTCGTGAAAAGTGAAGAGAACGCTCGCCACCAATCAAAAACGATCACGAAGTACTACGGATCACTGTGAAAAATCACCATGACTGGGACTGAACGTGATCGGATCACGAGTGATTCAAAAGTAACAATTCACGCCATCTCTAGTTGCAATTAATAATGAAACTTAATAATATGGTTGTGAATAAAGAACAAAATAGAATATTTTTTAATATACAAAATATTCCATTCAAAACAAATCACCTAATTACATATTTCCTTCAATTGTAACGATACAAAAAAATATTTCATTCATAATTCGAATAGTTTTAAATAACGAATGTGTTGTAAATAAAATATTCTTCCCAATGTCGTTTTTATCAGAATTTTTAAAGTCACCGATTCTGTCTTAATGTATGTATATTGTACATTAATTTAATATACATTCAGCTATTATAATAATACGACTTTAAAATGACCCAGAACTTGAAAATTTTTAATCAATGGACTTAGACATAATAGACACATAATATAGCCAATTTGTTTATCTGAACTTATACTATTGAACTTCTCTTTCTAAGAAAGATAACACGGAGATGTTTATCATGAATAACTAAACGATAACGCCAAAAAAACACGAAAGAACAAATGATTGGTGATTGTGTTACTAATATTCCAGAGACTATTGAAAAAGCATCGCTATCTATGTATTATTGATAAATGTTCTAAGTTGTTTTAGAGTCATATTATTATAATAACCGAATGGACACTAATGTCAAATATAACGTGCAATGGAAAACAATATACATTTAAATAAGACATCGGCGATCGATAGAAACTTAAAAAAAAAAAAAAAAATGATATTTGAAAGAAAACTTTCCCTGCGACATATTCGCTATTTAATATCATTAAAACGTTGTACGAAACATTTTTTCGTATCGTCGCTAATTAAAGAGATAATTGTGTTGTCTATTTCGAACGAGACACCCTGTATATCTTGTTACGCCTCTTATTATAGGCCGCATCTAACTTCTTATATCGCGTGGTTGTATTCTACTCCACACACGTAACAAAACCGTCGCGTGTAGTGCCAATTATCAAAGTGTACGTCCGTGTATTACACAGTTTATCTTTGTATTGACCCATCCAATACTCTGTTTCGCAAGTCCTCTATACGCTTATTTGCGAGCCCGTTTCAGATTGCTCTCAACTTTCGTAGTAAGCTTAACGGATATTTAGAGAAGCCATCGGAACAATAGGGCAGAGAAGCGTTAAATTTTTTCTCCGTAAAATGGTGTCACGAAAACAACGAACGCACAACCAACAATGAAACGTGCGACATTGTTCCATTGCGTACGGTAAAAATTTCATGGAAACAGTGCGTCGTAATAGTTCGAGGAACATATAAACTGTTCGAAGAAGCTTCGCGTTAATTCGCCTGGGCATCACTGCTTAGACATTGTCTCACATCGTGGCATGTTTTCGTGGTGCACAAAAGAGCCGAAGGTTGAGAACCTCCCATTTTTGTACATTTAATGTCTTTTTTTTTTTATTTGCGTTAAAAAAAAATACGTACATTTAAAATAACACGATCGTAGCTCGTACGTGTGTCTCGACTTCGCATTTCGTACATATTACTGACCGTACTGACGCATCTGAAACCGTACTTTGTCACAAACATGAATATTTTTTTAAATATTTACTATAATCGTACGAACATTTATAAGCTCTATTGCAATGCATTTTTCCTTTTTTACTAACAGTAATATCCGTACTAGATAAAATGTCTAAATACGTGCTGCTCACACATAGGTTTGAATTTTATAACAACTTAATGTTTATACCGTAAAGTGTATGTTTTTTTTTTTTTCTGATCGTAAAACACGTACAATAAAGACGATAGAAGTATATAAAGTGAGGGGAAATATTTTATTAAAAAAGTATACTTGCTAGCGAAACTGCCATGTAACTTGTCGATCGTTTGTATACAACAGATAAATTATTTTTTACTTTCAGTAAGCAATGACAGGATACTTCGATTTACCGTTTAATATGGACAGAATATGCAGAATTTGTCTTACAGAGGGTACTAATTTATCCCCTATTTTTTGTGGAGATCAAGAAGTAAGTGACTTTTCAGGTCTTCCACAAAAAATACAAATTTGCGGGTCGATAGAAATTCACGAACAAGACGGATTACCTTCGTTAATTTGCGATATTTGCATTTATAAAGCAAGCGTCGCACACGAATTTAGACAACAGTGTCAACATTCTGATGCCAAGTTACGAATGTACTATAATAAACCATCAAAGACTACGAACATGGTAAATACGATGCGATTCGTTTAGAATTTATATAAAACGTAGCATGTGTACGTATATTTTCTTAAATATTTTAGGACGAGCACATGCAAACAGACTCGAAGATAAGGACAGCAACACCAAAAAAACAAATCACAGAGGGAGATTATTTTGTGAAAGAGGAAGTGCAAATAGCATCGAATTCTCAAGAATACGTGCAGAGGAATACGTACGAATCGAGAGATGAATCTAGCTTAAACACCGAAGAGATTACTATACAAGATGAGAAACTTTTCATATGTTCTATCGGATTCGAAGGATCTAAGGAAACTGAAAAAGAACCTTGCATTCCGGAGAATAATATACACGAGACTTCTCTGACGCAAGGAAATAGCAATGATATTACAGAAACTATAGGTACGCAAAGTAAATTAGAAGAAAATCAAGATATCAATCAGAATACAGACGAAACTGACAAAAAACAAGAAAATGAGTTTCTCAACGAAAGTATATTAAGCGATAACATTACAGAAGAAGGGAGAATTCCACAAAAACGTACATCGACTCGGAAAATGAAATCAGTATCTAATAAAACTTATAACAAAGATGAAATCGATGACAACTATTATGACCCGGGTAGCGACAGTCAGGATTCCGGAGAATCAAAATTTAAATGCAAAGTATGCTCGAAACATTACAGTACACAAAAGGGCTTAAAAAAGCATTCCCTTGTTCACGAGAAAAAATATAAATGCGACATCTGTTTGAAAATGTTTTACAAGCAGGAGAATATGGAGACCCATAAAAAGATACACGCGGCGAAACCACTTGCATGTAAATTATGTCATGCGTCTTTCTCTAAACCTCAAGGCTTTGCACGCCATTTGAAGTCCCACACGGAAAAACTAAACAACATGATTAAACAAATCAATACGGACGAGCAGAAAGATAACAAAGAACCAAAAAAAGAAATGAAAGTCGAGGACGATACAGATGATGAGAGTGGTACCGTAAACGAGATCGATGAGTTTGAAAATGCACCTGAGTTGTACAAATGTGATGTTTGTAGTCAGTATTGTTCTTCATTAAAGAATCTAAAAAGACATGCTCTCGTGCATGGAGACAAAAAGTATTCCTGTACCGTATGTAAGAAATGGTTCTTCAGACCGGATACACTTAAGAAACACGCAGAGAAACATGGCCATGGATTATTAGACAATTTAGTAGACAATAATAAATTCTTCGATTCCGACGATGACCCTTTCCCAGATACTACAAGGAATGCTTTGCAAGAGAACGAAAGCGTTAAGAAGGAAGAGAGCGACGAGGATGGTTCTGGTGAATACAAATGTCAACACTGTGATAAAATCATGGCAACGAAGAAAGGTCTCAGACGTCATGTGTCGATGCATAAGCCAAAACCCGAACCAGTTACGTGTGAAATTTGTAGGAAAGTCTGTGCTAGTCAAGCCCGTCTTGTTCTTCATCAAAGGACACATAAGCCGAAGGAAAAGGTTCCCAGAGAATACTTGTGTCACATCTGTAGCAAAGTATATCCCAGTAATTCTTCTCTCACGTATCATATGAGAACTCATACTGGTGTAAAACCACATGTATGTAAAACATGTAACAGTGGATTTACTACAACGACCAGTTTGGCGAATCACATTAGAATCCACACGGGTGACAAACCGTTTGTTTGCCATGTTTGTAGCGCAGCGTTCGCTGTGAGTTCAGCTTTCAGGCGACACTTGACCAGACATACAGGCGAGGCAAATTATCTTTGTAAAACATGTGGTAAAGCATTCAAAAGACTTAGTACGTTAAAGGAACATACTTACACGCATTCTGGTGAAAAACCATACGTATGTAAAACATGTGGCGCCGCCTACAGTCACAGTGGTAGTTTGTTTGCGCATCAGAAGCGTTGTCGAGCTCAGTATGGTGAAATGGTTGTGGATGAGCATCACCATGCAGTTGCTCATCACATTCACGTGAATAATGTACAATCTGCAGTGCGGTCACTTGCTGTGATAGGACAGATGTTTTAGAAGACTAAAGATTCGTTGTATCAGAACTAACGATTTGAATTGTGCATCATAATGAATTATATATAGACTGTTAAAAGACTATAGAGCGTGCTACGATTTTCATAGTATATAATACAGCATTATTGTAGAGATCGTGCACTTGTGTAAATATATAAGCAGCTCCTTTTTTACAGAGAAACAATTATTTAAATACTCGTATAATAATTAATCAACCTATCCAGACTAGTGCTTTATCGCAAAAAAAAAAAAATTTATCTATTCGCGTAGTAAGTAAATATCCAGTGTACGAACATTTTTTAAAAATCTAGTTATTATTGACTCCAATAATGATTGTATAACTTGAGTATGTAATACACGCAACTTAAATGCATTCCGTACACATTTTTGCATTTTTTTTTCTCTCTCTTTTCATTGAGAAATTTCTTATCCGTGATAAACTTTATATTCTGCATTACCAAACGCTTTACTTTTCATGTTATACATCATTACTGCATTCATAACCTCAAAGCACTAGTTTAGGCATGTGATTAAGATGTGAAGATTTAATACGAAAAATGTACAAGGTAAATAATCAAAATTAAACCTACGTATTAGCCTCGCAAATATATTTTATTTTGAGTTATACTTAAAATTCATATTTAATATACGGGATATTCGGTCATACCTGGGGAAAATTTTAATGGGGGATTCTAGAGGCCAAAATAAGACGAAAATGAAGAATAGCAATTTGTTGATGAAGGCTTCGTTAAAAAGTTATTAACGTTTAAAGTTGAAGTGTGCAGCGTGCGCGGTTCCCGTCTCACAGGCGCAACTTTAGACGTTAATAACTTTTTAACGAAGCCTCAATCAACAAATTGCTATACTTGATTTTCGTTTTATTTTGGCTTCTAGAATCCCCCATTAAAATTTTTTCCAGGGTTGGCCGAACAGCCTGTATAAATTTGTACACACGTAACGAGAAATGTACAAAAATCTACAAATATTAGTTGCTATTAATAGATTGAAAAGAAAAGAGACTGATTCTCATTTATATAAATGCATTAATGATGAGAGAACATTTTATAACTCTTGTATCGAAAGTAATTAAACTAAAATCATTAGATGATCATTCCCAAAAATTGTTATATCTTTTTATTTTATATACGTATTATTATTACTTGGTCTTCAGTCTTTAATACAGTCTGTGTTATATTTAATTCATTAAAAGACATTATATTTACTTCGAACATTAGATCTACATTAATTTAAAAAAAAATTTTGCAAGGTACTACTATTACATTCATTGTAAGTATAAATTTATCATTGCTAATATGTATCATCTATGCAAATTTTTATGTATGTACTTTCTTATATTTTCGTATGTCAATTTCTCAAGTACAAAGTTTTATAATTTTTATTTTAAATGTACAAAAATATCTTACACTTTAATGCATCATTTTATATGCTTAATCGTTCACATATAATCAACGCATACATACCATAAATAGTAATTCATTGTGCCATCCAGATAACATAAATGACATGAACTTAAAGAAATATCATTTGAGTCATTATTTTGTTTTATTTTTTATTATATTTTTTATTTAACGTACAAAATATTCTGTACTTTATATTAAATTTCAATATTATATGCACGTTTACCTTAATTAAGATATTAGTAAACTTAAAGTTCCGGCAAATGGATGCTAATATTTAGATAAATAAATAAATATATATCTTAAACGATAACATTTTTCACTGGGCAATGCGTAATCAAAACTTATTTAATATTAAAGTAATTTATATTAATTACGGCACATTCGTTTACAGATACAATTTATGTGTATGTATATAACAGTAATACTACAAAATAAAACGGAAAGCATTATCATGAAATATTACCATAAATCAATGAAGTGTAACGAATTGCCTGCTTAAGCATTTTTAAATGTACATAACTATTACTATTTTAATTTATTATTAGACTTTTTTCATAATATTGTGAAAATAGTAGATAACAATCTATAAATTTATCATATTATAGTAGACAAAGTAAAACATAATAATTATACAGGGTGTTACGTTTAAGTGTGAAAGGTGGAATATCTCACGAGGTATTAAAATTATCAAAAAAGTGTTCTGATGAAAATTGTTTCACTTAAAAGGGCACATTATGTAGTATAAATAATTTTTGTGTAGGTGGAGTGGTGGGGGAGATTTCAAGGTCAAACTAATTTTTCTAAATGGAAACATATAGTGTTCGGTCACTCCTGGGAAAAATTTTAATAGGGGATTCTAGAGGCCAAAATAAGACGAAAATTAAGAATAGCAATTTGTTGATTGAGGCTTCGTTAAAAAGTTATTAACGTCTAAAGTTGCGCCTGTGAGACGGGAACCGCGCACGCTGCACACTTCAACTTTAAACGTTAATAACTTTTTAACGAAGCCTCCATCAACAAATTGGAATTCTTCATTTTCGTCTTATTTTGGCATCTAGAATCCCCCATTAAAATTTTTCCCAGGGGTGGCTGAACACTCTGTATTTTTGTTAATAATATGATAGCGTTTGTTGAGATTCAACGACTACATGACATTCCATGCTATAGAGCCATAATTATTGAGATGCAAGGCAGTCGGATCAACGCGAATTGTGAGTTAGTTAAAATGAATTCTGCGCGATTACACTATTTGCTTGTGCCGGACCGATCCAGTTTTTAATCAGTTTTTCCTGAGATTGTGGAGATGTCAATCCTACAATTAATATGAGAAATTATGAATTATTCCAGATGTTATAAATGATTGTTTTTAATGTTTACTTATTACACTAGTTTGTAATAACAATTATTAATTAATGACGTCGCTATGCATCGTTCTTCCACGAGAAGAAGGCACAGTGTGTTTACATCCCCACTCCTGATGCAGTCCGCTGACTCACTATTGGTCGAAAACGGTGACAGCCAATCAGCAGACTGCAGCAAGAGTGGGGATGTAAACACGCTGTGTCTTCTCGTGGAAGGACGGTATCTTAACCTTCAACATATCCACCATCGTTGAGTATGCTAAGTATAACTGAAAACACTAAAAATAACTAATATTATAAATTAAAACGTTCTTTCTTCGGCTTCTTAACTCTTTGCGGCGCAGGATTTCAGATAATAAAATAGAGCCATGTTGCATAGAAATTTTATTTCGATTTAAATTAAACAAAATTGGTATACTTTTAATAATAAAGGTATCACACAATGTATAAACATAAAAAAATAGTAATAGTTTAATTAAACTATGAACCTGTATTGGTATATCGAATATTGCCAACACAACATTTGTTGAACATATTACCAACTGCTTTACGTAAATAGAACGAAATATAAACCTATGCGCACGCTTGCAGCTATTGCGATACTTCGAAGTGGGACTAAATATGTCCCGCCATGCATTGCGATTCATCAAAAAGGTGGGCCACTTGCAATCCCAGCGTGCTCCAAAGAGTTAAAGTGACTATTCAAAGTCGAAAGTATAAACTTAGAAGCCTAAGTGGAGGTAAAGTTCGCCGCAGTACGTAGGGTTCGACTAGTAATTCATCTGACTTATAATGATATCATATATTAGCTCGTTGAATTTGTCTCAACAAATGCTATCATATTATGAACAAAGTAATATATGGTTCCATTTAAAAAAATTAGCTTAACCTTGAAATCTCCCGCACCACTCCACGTATACAAAAATTATTTATACCACAAAATGTGCCCCTTTAAATAAAACAACTTCTGTAAGAACACGTTTTTAATACCTTCGATACCTCGTGAGATATTCCACCTTTCGCAGTTAAACGTGACGCACTGTATACAGGGTGTTCAGCCACCCGTGGGAAAAATTTTAATGGGGTATTCTAGAGGCCAAAATAAGACGAGAATTAAGAATACTAATTTGTTAATTGAGGCTTCGTTAAAAAGTTATGAACGTTTATAGTTGCGCCTGTGAAACGGGAACCGTGCGCGCTGCACACTTAAATTTTAAACGTTAATAACTTTTTCACGAAGCCTCCATCAACAAATTGGTATTCTTCATTTTCATCTTATTTTGGCCTCTAGAATCTCCCATTAAAATTTTTCCCAGGGGTATTTTTTTGTAAAAGATTGATACGAGGATTTCAAGGATTTAAAGACACTCACATTAACGAAAGTAACAGAAAAGCTAATACACGTTAATGTACGAGTCTCTTATTGTCACTTTTTATTCCTTGCTGCGCTGCCGTTTTTTCTTGAGTATCTTGTAACGACGCCAAATAGAAGCTCGTGTTCGTCTTAGAACTTTTGCCAAATCTGAATATTTCCGTTTCTCATCAAGTTTTGTATTGTGTTCCAGGTGATCTAGAATCATTCTGTCTTCGTCCGGAAGGAACCTTAAAAATTTAAATAAAATATTCTTATACAATAGACAGAAATTATAAATTATAATTAGGATAATTCTAAGCTCGATGTTGATTGCCAACGATTATTTTGATTTTTAAAAGAGTTTTAAAAATTGTGTATATAAAAAGCAAGTAACCACCATCTTGTGTTCCTAGGTTAAAATATATATAATATTTATACGATGCTGCTTTATCTTTAAGAATTAAATGCTTCACCTTCTTTGCACGTGGTTTGCGTATAAAACTCTAAATCGATGATATACACTGTACAATGTACGATTTGGTAAGCCATCTGCTAGAAATTGAACGAACTTTCGTCTTTCTCTCTTGCTACGAATGTACGTTCTATTTTCTTCTCTTAAAAGTAAAAATGGTTGAACTTTTTCGTACTTCCATTTATGCAACTACATGAAAGAGTAGAAATATGTTTAAATTAATGAAAAACAAAATTTTACTACATGTACAGAAACCACGGAAAATACAAATATTATTAACAAACCTTACAAAATGATCGCCAGTTACTAGTGATTATTTTATCTTCTGATGGATCGTAACATCCCTTTTTAATTGGACTGATTTCTTCAAACCTTTCTATTTCATAATGCGTTGGAGGGCGGGAACCAGCTCTTGATTCGATTTCATGCTGCGGCAATAGAGGGTTTTGTAACTGTATTTGTAAATATCGTAGAGCCTATAATAATGAAATAACGTTGTAAGATAACATACATAGTGTATACAAGAAAAAAGTATATTCCCAATTTATAAACTATTAACATTAAAGAATTGTTGTTAAACGTATTACCTTTGCATCGGTTTCAGAAAGTCTATTTTCTTCTCTGATTTCTTGTGCAAGTATATTAACATCATCGAGTTCCATCTTTCAAGCTTCTTTACTTTACTCACGAGCTGTCTAAATGTTTGAAAAAGTAAAAACATAAACACGCTTATATCTATAAGGTCCTATGACACCAACCGAAACCTAACCAAACTTTTGATTTTTACGATGATATACATTTAAAACAGAAAATATAATTATGGATATATTTATTTTGTGTTTGCAACATTTGTGATTAGGTTCTAAAGGATTAGTGCGCAGTAATGACATTAATAAAGTTCCTTTATTGATTAAAAACGGATGTTGTATGATTCTTTGAGTGATTTAAAAAGTTACTCCAAACCAATAAAGGAACAAAACGAGAGAAAGATTTTACATGGTATAAATTATACAGAATCATATATTTATTGTAAGTGTAGGGGATACGTTTACTTTTAAAAAAAATTTACCACTTATTTTATCAGAAAACAAAAATACAATTCCATACAATCGACAGTAGTGTAGCCAGATCGAGCATAATTGAACGTACAAAACACGATTAGAGTAACGATGAATTTGAAACCTTTAGCGGTGGGGAAAGCAAACACATTTACATATTACCGTCCTTCCACGAAAAGAAGGCACAGCGTGTTTACATCCCCACTCTTGCTACAGTCCGCTGATTGGCTGTCACCGATCTTCGTCACCGTTTTCGACCAATAGTGAGTCAGCGGCCTACAACAGGAGTGGGGATGTAAACACGCTGTGCCAGTTTGTACGAACACTGTATGTGAACTCGACACTTCGCGCGCATTCGAAAGATTCACTGCCGTATACACTTAACTAGAATTTAGGATACCGTTGGATCCCAGTAAGGAACAAAATTTAAGGAAGTTACCGGGAAAGAGACTAAACAAAAAATTTCCTCGTAATCTACATGATGGAATTCCCAACGTGCACCTCTTTTTGCGCTAAAGGTACATCTATGGCAGCGGACGACAGGTAGCTGTGACGTCAGCTTACGCATGCGCAGAAAGGAATCCCACGAGGGAAAATTCCAGTGCGCATGACCAAAATACCGACGATGTCCATCACTGCGTGTCACGTGTATTTTGGTTAATTATACAAATAATAGAGGAAAATGGGAAAAGCGAAGAAACTAAAAGTTTCGAAAGGTGGGACGAAACAATCAAAAGTGGCTTTGTTAGATCAAATAGAAGAAGAAAAAGTAGTGAAATTGAAAAATAGAAACAAGACCAGAATTCGCAACGATGGAGACGAGGAGGTTATATTCTTACATATATCATTAATATCATTAATATAAAATCTTGCACTATATCAATTTTAAATATATTGTTTCATTTTATGATATACAGTTTGTGGATTCTTCTCTTTCAAAGAAGATTTTGTCGCAAGCTAGACAACAGCAAATTGAAATCGAGGAAGAAATTGGAATGGTACAGTCATCGGGAGTTACAAAAAGTCCAGTGGTGAAGCTTTCCACTGAATTTAGCGATACAGAGGAACATTCGAGCGAAGATGAATACGATGGTTCGCATTATTATGAGAATATCGAAATAAACGAGGAGGATGAGCGAGCTATAGAAATGTTTATGTCTAAGAATGCTACGCCTACGAAAACGTTAGCTGACATAATACTAGAAAAGTTGACGGAAAAGAAAACAGAAATTGAAACTCAATTCTCGGATGTAGGTTCTATTCAAATGCAAGAATTGGATCCGAGGGTTAAAGCAATGTACCAGGGCGTTGGAAATGTTTTAACAAAGTATCGCAGCGGAAAATTACCGAAAGCGTTTAAAATCGTTCCTACTTTAAGAAATTGGGAACAAATATTATACATTACAGATCCACCAAAATGGTCGGCTGCAGCGATGTATCAAGCTACTCGAATATTTGCTTCTAATCTTAAAGAGAAAATGGCGCAAAGATTTTATAACTTAGTACTGTTGCCCCGTATCAGAGACGACTTGGTAGAATATAAAAGACTCAACTTTCATTTGTATCAAGCGTTACGAAAAGCATTATATAAGCCTGCTGGTTTTATGAAAGGATTCTTACTTCCTTTATTAGAATCTGGAACTTGTACGTTAAGAGAAGCCGTTATCATCGGATCTGTGATCGCTAAGAATTCAATACCAATTTTACATTCGTCTGCAACGATATTGAAAATCGCAGAAATGGATTACACCGGTGCAAATAGTATTTTCCTTAGGATATTTTTAGATAAAAAATATGCACTTCCGTACAGGGTCGTAGATGGCGTTGTATTTCATTTTCTTAGGTAAGATTATATTTAATTTAAATTACGTAATATTTTTAATCATTATCGTATTTAAAAATAACATTTAATCGTAGGTTTGAAAGTGATCACAGAGAATTACCAGTTTTATGGCACCAGGCATTATTGACTTTTGCACAACGTTACAAAAGCGATATTAGTTCTGAACAGAAGGAGGCTTTATTAGGATTATTAAAGAAGAAATTTCATCATTCGATTACACCTGAAATACGAAGAGAATTGCAACATGCAAAATGCAGAGATCTAGAAATCACGGAACCTAAACCAGAACCAATGATATGTTGAAGGTTCAAGTTCTTTCACCTTATAAAAATTGTAAATTATATTTCTTTAGGAACAAAGAATTCCTTAATCTCTTACGAACCAAATTGAACCTCGAATACTTTACATCGCATTGGTATAAAAAATATATACAAAAAATGGTTGTACTGTTAAATTTATTTTAAAAATCGCAATATAGAAGTATTCAATTACAGGTATTAATGAATATCGTATAATATATCAACTTTTCAATTATACATAATTATTGTTTGCAGTTCGTTTAAAAATAAAAATAAAAATTCTGATATCCTCTACAACGAATATATAATACTTTGTGAACGTTTGTTATGTTTAATGGTTGCTATAAATTATAAAGTTAAGATCACATTAAAAACTCTATTAAAAATAATAAAAATAACTTTCGTATTTAAATCTAACAAAATGTAAACAAAACATTAGAATTATATTTTTAATATTAGGGTATTTATATCTAAATTGACGTATTTTTTTTTTTTAAGTATTTGTATACCTTCTCGCAATATATTTTATATATATACAGAATTTAAATACAATAATTATTTAAATGAACGCTGTTTGCATTTAAGTTCAGAGACATTGCAATATAAAAATACCTACCAATAAAGTATAAAAGAAAATTACCTCTCTATTGTTTAAACAACTATCTGACAAGTAGTTTTACATACTTTTGCATCTATTTCCTACATGAGAACGGTAAAAATCATACTAATACAAATCATATATATATATATATTACAATATTCGAAATTTTAAACGTTTGCGGTGCTTTAACTTTCTACAACCGTTTAAAGTTTATTTCTTTTTGAAAAATGTGGTAATATTTTTGGATCCGGCAGCTGCCTTTTGTCTGGCTAACTCCTTTTTACCAACGGTAGTTTTTTGAGGCTACGTAATACAAATATTGTAAGAATACATACGACAAGAATATATTTACACGCATAGAAAAGAAAACGTTACCTTTTCTGATTTGGACAAATCAGGAACTTTTGGTTTCAGTATTGACTCATTTTCAGTTAAATCTTTCTTGGATCTCTTCTCACTCGTAGCGTCTTTAGGACTACTTAATTTTCGTTTCTTAGTTTCGGTTTCATCCGGTATATTTAAGTGTTGCGCTAACTTTTTGGACAAATCTTCCGAAAGATATTCCGATACTATACCATGTGCGTATTTTAAATACTCTGTAGAAAAAGATAAATGTATGTTATTTCCACTTTCACATTCACCGCGATAGAGGTAAGATATACGAGGCTGATTTTAATTCTTACCCACTTCCGAAGCATTCTCAAGCTTAACGCTTTTAACGTAAGTAGCACTAATAGCACCCTGCGACACATGAATACCCTTTTGTTTTAGTACGTCTGCTACTCTTTCTACTTTCTTTTGTAACCAGATTAACGTCTTTTCTTCGTTAAATTTGTAAGCTTGCAACGATTCGTCTCCCTTACGGTCGGCTACCAACGTCAACTTTAAACTCTGACACTGAGCGAGACGAGACGTTTCTGGGAAATCTTCGTCCCATAGACATTGATCTAACGGTTGTGCTTGTTGTGACTATGAACGTAACATTTAAGATTATTAATCCTAGATCGGCAAATTGAAGCATCATACTATATGAAAATGATATCGACGTAACGTGGCAACGGAAGAAACATTTACCTTTCTTAAATAAGGTAGTACTAAGAATATTGGATCGATGGGAGTGGATAAATGCATTTTTCCATCTGATTTCACATTATCGTCTATGAACCACGATCTTTTGTTCTCATCGAATGTTAAAACTTCTTGTACTGTTAAGTTACCAGGACTAAAGACGAACATAGCAGGTTGATTAGAGGCTGGGTGTCTTAATTTAATTACATCGGGTATTCCCCCGTGTGTATTATCTAAACCATCGCCTAAAACATTTAAAACATGTCTTGAAAGGATGATCTAAGAAACGAGGTAAAAATATAAAATACTCGTAAGTGTCGAATAAACCACAGAGAAAATACCGGTAAATGTTTAACTGCAACACGAACAGTTAAGGCGAAAAGTTGAAATACGAAATTATTTTTACCCATTTATTCACCTTTCATAAGAAAAACCCACGTATTTGTACCTGGATACGAGTTTGTTGTTTTGACGCACTTTTTTGGTGATGCTTTGGTACGCGGCATATTTACGCGCGTTTTACACGATCGATATCACGTTAGGTTATTTACACCTCACGCACAATTTTCACCGTGTATCAATACATATGCATAAAACAAATTTAGCGATCAGCCATTTTTGGTAAAAGGACCGACTCTTAATTTTTTATTACTTGTTGACCGTTGTATACCACACTGCGTATCTATTTCGGTAAACGAGCACGTTAAACGCGACATGCCGCTGGCGTTATACGGGATAACATTTGAAATCTCGATGTGTGGTCGAACGTCAGCGAATGGTCGATGATCGGAGAACCGGGCCGAGAAGAGGCGTTGCCGCGCTACAAGCCATCTTTTGAAAAAGAGAAGTGCATCAAAATCGTGCTCTAGCGTGAAAGATTTAAACTACAACGCGTAAAATTTCTATCGATAAAAACATATTGAGTTTCTATGAATACACAGTAGCCCTTCCCGACGAGCATTGTACTTGCAACGGAAATCGTTCTACGCATAATTTGATTAAAAAATAGATAAGCATTAAACAATACTTATCTATTTCAATGAGGATATTTGCAAACTTTTTACGTATTCCTTTTATTCATAATAATCATATTAAAGAATTTTACTTTTAAGATTTTCAGTTATTTCGTGGAATGTTTATTTTAACTTTGTAACAAAATAAAAAATATTAAAATTTCATTAGGGCGAATCATGGACCTGAAGAACGATGTATACATATTTTGTTGTGGGGTTAGGTTCCCCGAAAGGGGAAATCACTTTTAAAACATCAGCCATTTTCTTAAATGTGGGGTCGTCGCCTCTTGTATTCAACATCAGAGGGATCGTTCTCAGAAGCAGTGATGGACATTCGTGGGAATTTTGGTCATGCGCACTGGAGCGCATGATCGCTGCCGTATACACTTAACTAGAATTTAGGGTACCGTTGTGGATCCCAGTAAGGAAGTTACAGGGAAAAAGATAAAAACAAAAAATTTTCTCTTAATCTACATGAGTATAGCTTGAGAAATACGTAGGGGATCTTCGATAAGTTAATTTTTGTGTGATTGGCGAGCATTTGAAGTAGAAAGTTCAATTTTGTACAAAATATGGGAACTCCCAACATGCACCTCTTTTTGCGCTAAAGATACGTCTATGGTAGCGGACGACAGGTAGCTGTGACGTCAGCTTACGCATGCGCAGAAAGGAATCCCACGAGGGAAAATTCCCACGAATGTCCATCGCTGCTCAGAGAAACCGTGTGACCAGATTTGGCATAATTGAGTGCATCGACAACAACACTAGTAACAACGAACTTTGTTAGCGTCTAAAGAATGCTGGGGAAAGCAGACGTATCCTATCGTATGGATCATTTGGCACGCGAGCCTGGTATTTTGAGCAACTTTGGGAAATCGAGAAAAAAAAGGTGAGTGTGAAGTTCGACCTCACGACAATTTGCATACGGTGTTGACTGGGGCCACTCGACCATTGAAGTGCATTTCTATGTTCTTCCTTGTTCTGCAACTGAAAACAACGAAGACAGACAAGATCGATGTTTTTTTATGTCTGACTTGGTTGTTTTCAATAGTAAGACGAGGAAGAACATAAGAACGACCGTCGTTTCTATTGGATATTGCATTTGTATTTCTTATTGTATGAGTGTGCTGCCATCTAGCGTATAATGTGTCGTATCCAGAGGTGCTAAAAAGCATCGACGGTGCCCTACTCACGCATGCTAGATCACGCGTACGTGAGCTCGTGGAGTTTCGGTGAGTCGACAAAGGCAAACTGACACATGCCTTCTTTCTCGATTCTCCGAAGCTGCCCGAAGTAATTTCGGACCGCCTCGTGGGAGTCGAGAGAGAAAGACTCACATTTGCTTTCTCGCTCTTGAACAACTGAAATTCGACCTCACGTCATCGCCATACAATTCCAAGTCTCCGACCAATTTTCCGACCAATGTAGGAGCACATAAGCAAAGTACTACAGTATTGTCTCTATAGAAGCGACGCTCTCGGGGCTCAACGCTCGGCTATATCGTGGACGAGAAACGATTCTTGATACTTTGTTGACGCCTACTGGAGGCGGCGAGTATAGAAAAGAACAGCGAGCATATGACAAAAAGGGACTGAGCGGCCGAGCATCGCCGAATTTGCTATCGCTTCCTTCGCTTCGGGTCGGCTGTAACGAAATACAGGCGATGTTTATGCGAGCCTATACGAAATCGGTGTTCTAATTCTGACTTCTACCTCTCTTGGTAGAGGTCGCAGAATGAAATACTGATTCTGTATAGGCTCGCGTAAACATCGCCTGTGTTTCGATACAGCCGACGTGGAGTCACTTGAGCGATGCATGCCTTTGATTTCTTATTGCGTTAGTAAATAGGACCTAAATTGTATATCGTATTTGGTGTCATTTTAATCAGAAAAGTGTCACGAATATGTTGATGAAGTTTGAAAAAAGGAAGAACAAAAATAAAGATGAATTTCGTTGTTGATTTAATATTGTATATGTACTAGTTAAATCGTGTCATAACTTCAGTACATATATGTATGTATCGATCGTTTACTGCAATAGTGATATAACCCGAAAAGATATACATAACTTGCGAATTTAAACTGTTTAACCAACTTATTTTACTCTGAGTTGTCTCACGATTTCGGCAAATAAATGATAGGTCAATTAAATTACAATTCCTTTTTTCAGATGAGGATACACTTTAAAGAAAGGTCAAATGTATATTATAATTTATGAAAAACAATAATAAAAATTATGTTGTACTTGATCTTAGTTAAATCAGAAAACTGTCACAGACATGTTAAAAGTTTCAAAACAAGAAAAGGAAAAATAAAAAATTTGTATTATTGCACTAGTGTTGCCTTAGTAATTTGAGCCCGTATCGTATGACAATGTTCGACGACCGACTGTCAAACGCGCCGCTATCTTGGGGAACCGCCCATAGGAAGGCATACTCGCCGATACAGCGAGTGCTTAGTTCTAACGGTACGCAGTGGGGATAAGTAGAGGGGATATGATATTTGCCTATATCGTGGACGAGTTCCGAGCTTATATAGAGAAAATACTGTATAATGAAAAAAAATTTTGTGAAATTTGTCTTACGTAAATACACGTTTTAAGACCCCCCGATCATATTTGAATTATTGAAAAAAAAGAAATTCTTTTTTATTATTCCTATGTATGAGCGTACACATGTATATCGTTTCAGATATCACTTCTGATACTTCTGACAACGTATAACGATTACTACGGGCTACTGCCAACGTCTCCCGGCCTCTACTGGCTTCTGCTGGCCTCTGCTGACCACCGCTTATATTTCTGACAACGTATAACGATTACTACTTGTTACTGCTTGCCCCTGCTGGTCTCTGCATGCCTCTGCATTTCTCTGCTGGCCCCTGCCGACCATTGCTGACCACTGCTGATCTTTGTTGACAACTTCTGATATGACGTATACGTATTAAAGCCTTGTATAATGTAAATCTATGGCAATAAATGATATAATTTCAAAGAATTCTATGTGTTCTCATCATTTTTACCTTTCTTCCGTTTTTCCAGTAAAAACTGGAATCCCAAAGTGCACAGAACATTTCCAAAATGTCGGTGTCCTTGACCCGCTTTCGAAATTAGATCAAGGCCATCCGGATTTCCAAAGTATCCCGAATTTTTTTAAAATTCAAATGGCCTTGACCTTGACTTAGTTTCGAAATTGGGTCAAGGCCATCCGGATTTCCAAAGCGCCCGGAATTTTTCTAAAATTCGAATGGCCTTGATCTTGATCTTGACCCACTTTCGAAAGGGGGTGAAGGCCATCTGGATTTCCAAAGCGTCCGGAATTTTTTTTAAATTCGAGTGGCCTTGGCCTTGACCTTGACCTGGACCTTAAACCCAAGGCCATCCGGATTTCCAAAGCGCCATGAATTTTTCTAAAATTCGAATAGCCTTGGCCTTGACCTTGACCTTGACCTTGAACCCAAGGCCATCCGGATTTTCAAAATGCGCGGAATTTTTCTAAAATTCGAGTGGCCTTGGCCTTGAAATTGGGTCAAGATCAAGGTCAAGGCCAAATCCGGATTTGCAAAGTGAGCGGAATTTTTCTAAAATTCGAGTGGCCTTGACCTTGATATTGAGTTGAGAATTTGATCAAGGTCTAGGTCGACAGATTTGTTTAAATCCATGAAATGGTGAGTGAATTATTAATATTAAAATTTTAATTTTAAAATTTTTATGGGAGATTCTAGAGGCCAAAATAAGACGAAAATCAAGAATACCAATTTGTTGATTGAGGCTTCGTTAAAAAGTTATTAACGTTTAAAGTTAAAGTGTGCAGCGCGCACGGTTGCCGTCTCACAGGCGCAACTTTAAACGTTAATAACTTCTTAACGAAGCCTCAATCAACAAATTGCTATTCTTGATTTTCGTCTTATTTTGGCTTCTAGAATGTCGCATTAAAATTTTTTCCAGGGGTTAGGCTGAACACCCTGTATTTCGATGACTTACACCTTTTGCGTTTAACAGTGCAGTGTTCCTTAACGGGAAGGTGATTATAAATAAAAATTGTCCGAGTTTGTTAGTGAAAACGTTTCATTAAACTCTGAAAGTTACAATAGCAGTAGAGTTTTTGTCTGTTATTCACGATTATTTCTTTACTATAGAATCACATATAAGGTTACAGTATTTGAGGCCACCTCCATGCGTTATAATTGCGACCTACTTCTCTGCGAACCTTAAATTTCGTCGTAATTCCGTGTTCACGATCTCGTTTAAAAAAACCAAGAAACAATTCAGTCTTTCGAAATCTTTTTCCCCGACGCTTTTCGACGAACATCGCTAGCAAATTTCAAAAACTTGAAATCAAACCGTTCGTTAAATGGTTCCAATACGATCAACGATAAAAGATTTCATGATTTTTCCAGTTTAAGATAAGCATTCCTTGCTGGATCGTGCGTCGTAAAATAATGGAAACAAGATTTCTTTCGAAAAAAGGAAGATTTACGTTCAAAATTCTTGTTAGACGCGTGTGGTATTATAGTACAAAATTAAAAAATATTTACTGGTTGATTATCGTATCAGGGAAAGTCAAATTCCTCCAAACGCATGCATATTAATTTTTTAAAAAGGAAATTTAAATATCTAGGTCGACAGATTTGTTTAAATCCATGAAATGGTGGGTGAATTATTAATATTAAAATTTTAATTTTAAAATTTTTATGGGAGATTCTAGAGGCCAAAATAAGACGAAAATCAAGAATACCAATTTGTTGATTGAGGTTTCGTTAAAAAGTTATTAAC